TTTGACTGCCTCACGGTGGGGATTTGCACAATCAACTTATGCACACAACATAAACACTACATTAGCGAGTGAACATGCAAACAAAAATCACATGATTCTGTGTGCATTCATAAAGCCGCAAGATGCACATTTTTGCGTGTGAAAAATGTGACACAAACGCAGCAATACTCGCTGCTAAAAAATGCACAAAGTTCCAAAAATTCCTGAGCTTCTTTGCCACATTTGTTGCATGTAGGGCAGCCCATTCAAATAAATGAGTTGTCCTATGCATGAAGCACTATATGCTACACACAGGCAGTCCCCAAGTTATGAACACAATAGGGTCTGCAAGTTTGCTCTTAAGATGAATTTGTATTCACGTTGGAACAGGTACATTTTTTAAGTGTAGCTCCAGCCCAAAAAAATTTTTACATTTTTTTCTGGATAGCATAGGGAAGGATTAACACCCTTTGCAGTCTGTACTTCTGTTAGGAAGATTGCACCTCACTTTCTGTCTCTGTGACAATTGGATTTTGGTAATTTTGGGTTGTCATGGAAACAAGAATTGGTGATAAACCTTCAGTGGAGTTAACTTTTTCTCATGACAACTCTTACAGAAGTGAATTTCCCTTCCTAGGGGTAGATTTTCTCTCCCTCCGTTTGTAAGTACAAATTATTCGTAACTCGTTTTCTCTTTGGTTACAGTAGTATGGCAACAATGCTGATCCCAAGAAACAATCACCCTTGAAATGGTGGTCTGAATTGTAACCTTATCTATTGAGATGCCCGTTTCATATGGATCTGTCTTGAAGTCTTGTTACAACATTTGCTGAATTGTTTTGTACCTGTTAATTCTTTAAAAAAGCTTTATCGACAAAATAAATAAATAAATATAAAAGAGAATTTTGACTTACCTGTATTCCATATCTTGGTGTGCAGTACAGGACAGTTATCTGTAGTCCTTGAACATGGGTTATATGCTGCTACCGTCAGGTGATTGGACACTGGCAAAACCTTTGCTAAGAATACCTCCCCAGTGCATCCTCATATAAATCCATAAACTCTATGGAACTAAAATTTTAAAGCATGCAATAAGGAAAAACAGAACGGACCTGTACTGCACTCCAAATATGGAATTTACAGGCAAGTCAAGATTCCCATTACGCTAATTGTACAAGCAAAGCGTTTGTAAAGCCAAATACCTTTGAAGGGAATGGATACAGCAAAAACCCATCCCTTTAGAGTACTAAGAGCCAGATGCTGGTCTAGACCAGACTGGAGAAGGCCAGGATGCAAGGAATAGGGTTGTGGTGTATATTTTTGCACAGGCCAAAATAGACCTTCCAAGTGTGATGGTTGAATTCTATGAAAAGTAGTTTTTTTTTCTCTGAGCAAGATGGTGCGGGGGATGCTGCGCACATCGAGAACTGAGCAAAGGGAAGCACCTCAAACAAGGTTATCATGAGGCCCAGAACCTCCATGTAAAAGCGAGTCGAGAGTGCCTGGTTAATATATGAGTCTGACAATTGGAACTTAAAGAAGCAATCTTTTCCAGAGGAAAGAACATTTTTGCTTGGGTCATGTCTAAATAAGTCCCAAATACTCTAGGCATTGGAAATCAGGAGGGCAGACTTCTTGAAGTTGATCACCCATCTGAATGTTTGAAAGAGCTCAATCATCCTTTGAATGTAGGAAGACAAAACAAAGACCAGACAAAGGCTAGTACACACTGGGGTTTATTTACTAAAGCTGGAGAGTGCAAAATCAGGCTCACGTCTGCACAGAAACCAACCAGCTTCCAAAGTTTTATAGCCAAAGCTTAATTGAACAAGCTGAAGTTAGAAGCTGATTGGTTTATATGTAGAAGTGAGCCTGATTTTGCATTCTCCAGCTTTAGTAAATAAGCATCACTGCATCAATAAGTGAGCTCAAAGTGGAAAGCATGTGGCAAGAAACCATAGCTTGTCTCTCATACAATGAATAAGTTGAAAATTCCTCTTTAGGATCTTCCTTTGCATCGACCTCACCCTCATCCTTCTGACTATCGTTCTTGAAGAGGTTAAGAGGAGCAGGGTCATACTTCTGAAGAGATTCAAGTAGTGGAGAGGCAGAAGAGCTCTTTATCATCCTAAAGACTGAAGATCAAGAAGGAGAAGGAGCTTCGGAAAAAATATGTAGAAAGGTAGTAGTGAAGAAAATGAAAAAGGATTGGCGTTATAAACTTCTCCAGAGGAGAAAAGGTCAATTACCTAAGGACACTAGCAAAAAATTGGAGTCCAAGGAGTGGGTGGGGTTATATGAAGGTGCACTACTAGAGGGTATTCCCAGCAAAGTTTTTGCCGGTGTCCAATCACATGAAGATAGCGGCATGGAACCCATGGTCTAGGAGTACAGATCCTGTGTCCTATACTGCACAATTAAGATATAACGTATTCTGATAACTGTATGCTATTGATGATCCACATTGGCTCACAACTGATATGATCCAGAAATATTTAGACAGAATAAAGGTGAATAAGGCACCTGGACCAGATGTCATACACCTGCGGGTCCTTAAAGAAGTGAGCTCTGTCATTTCAAAGCCATTGTTTCTAATTTGTTGGGACTCTTTAATGACTGGCATAGTACCACTGGAATGGCATAAGGCCAATGTGGTGCCTATATTTAAAAAGGGGTCAAACTCTTTACCAAATAATTATAGACCTGTTAGTTTAACTTCTATAATTGGGAAGATACTGGAGAGTTTAATAAAAGACCACATAGATGAGTTCTTGCTGGAAAAAAATATTTTAAACAACAGACAGCATGGATTCATGAAAGACAGAAGTTGTCAAACAAATCTGATTTCTTTTTATTTGGAGGGGAGCAAAACCTTGGACAGAGAGGTGGCGGTGGACATGGTATACTTGGACAGAGGGGTGGGGGTGGATGTGGTATACCTTGATTTTGCAAAAGCGTTTGACACAGTTCCACACACACGGCTAATATGTAAGGTAAAGTCAACAGGCTTGGAAAAATCAGTATGTAAATGGATAGAAAACTGGCTAAAAGATGGTATTCAGAGATTAGTGGTTAATGATTCATACTCTGAATGGTCTGGGGTCATCAGTGGTGTACCCCAAGGTTCAGAGTTGGGACCCTTACTTTTTAATATATTTATAAACGGATATAGGGTCTGGGATTAAAAATAGCATTTCAGTATTTGCAGATGACACCAAGCTGTGCAGTGGAATAACGTCCTTACAGGATGTCTTCAACTTACAAGCCGACCTCAATGCTCTGTTTAATTGGGCGACTATGTGGCAAATAAGGTTTAATGTTGATAAATGTAAAGTTATGCACTTGGGGACTAAGAATATGCATGCATCATACATACTAGGGGGGGTACAACTGGGGGAATCAATGGTGGAGAAGGATCTGGGAGTTGTGGTAGATCACAAGCTTAATAATGGCATGCAATGCCAAGCTGCGGTTTCTAAACTGAGCAAAATCCTCTCTTGTATTAAAAGAGGTATAGACTCCAGAGAGAGATATCATATTACCCCGGTACAAATCATTAGTAATGCCTCCTCTGGAATGTGCAGTTCAATTTTGGGCACCAATTCATAAAAAGAACATTGAGGAACTGGAGAAACTACTGAGAAGGGCAACCAAACTGATACGAGGCATGGAGGAGCTCAGCTATGAGGAAAGATTAGAGGAACTGAATTTATTCTCTCTTGAGAAGAGGAGATTAAGGAGGGATATGATCAACATGTATAAATACATCAGTGGTTCATATAGTGAACTCGGTGTAGAGTTATTCACCTTGAGGTCATCACAGAGGACAAGGGGACATTCTTTACGTCTGAAGGAAAATAAATTTAATCTCCAAATATGGAAAGGTTTCTTCACAGTAAGAACTGTGAAAATGTGGAATAGACTCCCTAAAGAGTTGGTTCTGGCCAGCTCCGTGGATTGCTTTAAAAAAAAGGCCTAGATTCTTTCTTAGATAAACAGAATATAACTGAATACTAACATTTATAGGTAAGGTTGATCCAGGGAATATCCAATTGCCTCTCGGGGGATCAGGAAGGAATTTTTTATCCTGCAGAGCAAACTGGATCATGCTTTGCTGGTTTTTTGCCTTCCTCTTGATCAACTGTGGGTATAGGATTATAACCTTTTTTTTTTTTAATGGTTGAACTGGATGGACTTTTGTCTTTTTTCAGCCAGACTAACTATGTAACTATTAATGCTTGCAATACTATATTTACTTACCATGTTTCACCATACAAATAAAAACCTAATGTAACAAGCTTCAAGGATCCTTATCTTGCTGCCTGTGGACATTGTGCTTTTGATTTGTACAATCAATCTATAGCCTAGCAGAGACCAGTATGGACCAATTCTTTGGCTTCTATTGCACATACCTGGATAAGACTAAGTTTGGGATCCAAAGGTGATTGCTCACAAGGTGATGCAAGGCCTCCCTTGCAGCAGTAGGAATTCTTGTCTTAAACTACATTCCACTTTTGGCTCATATGGCTCTATGACTAGGCCAACCATTTACAAACCAAGGAGTGTAAATATCCACTACCACAAAAAATATTGTATTTTCAGAATTGTATATGGCTAATACAAATTATAGTAATGGTAGATTGTGCTCATTTTTTAATACCAGAAGTCCCTATTAATATTTTTTCCAAGATTTACATGCAGCCCAACTTGTCCAGAAAGAAACAGTGACAGGAGTCGAGAATATTGCCATGGGGGCCTATAATTGTTACTCCAACTGCTCAAGAACCCCCAGGGTGTGTTTGTGCCAACCCATGTCATTTTTGCAAGACAGACTGGTCTGATGTCAGTATGGAGAAAACATAAATAAAGGCATGTGAAGAAGGGAAATATGAAAGTGGTCAATTACGCAATGGAATATAAACCCACTATCCTATTATTTAGACAAGTACTGACACATCCAGGTCTTCTCTAACCATCCTAACACTCTACCAATTCACACCAAGCATCCAAGCATGAATTACCTTCCTGTGGTGTAGTCTTGTTCTCGTTTACTATCTCGGTTACGGTTTCTATGGATCCCTGTTCCTCTTCTTGATCCGATGTCCCATTTTGTGTTAGAGAGAGAGGACTTTCACTTTCTTCTCTAACTGCATTACCTCCAGAGTCTTGATTAAGACCGTCTGTCTTTTTCTTTTTCTTTGGCTTGACTTTGGGTTGCAAGGATCTTTTCTTTTCCATGTCAACAGCTTTCTTTCCTATCAGAAAAGACATTTAAAAAAGTCAAAGAGGACTCTTTGCCCAGGTACGGCTAGTGAAGTTGATTTTGCCAGAAGATGTACAATCAGTGCAGGCTGAAGCCATTCTACTCCAGAAAGAAAATAGCTGTGAACTTGTACAGACAAATAGGGGTCAATGTGTTTTCAATCTTTACAGAAGATTTACACATTTTTCATATATGATTTGACTAGAAAAAATTGAGACTCTTGGGTTAAAGTTGGGAAGTGAATCATAAATGAAAAAACTGGTAAATAGACTCCATAATGATTGCTAGTTCAGCTAGTTACAGGTCTGTGAACTTCCATAGACCAATGTTTAATGAATGAATATCCAGTGCTGCTGGACACAGAATGTCATAATGATCACATTAAGATGGTAACAGTTAGGCATAGCCTATTGCTATGCTTAACTGTTAGTCAACCTATGTTGGTCAGGTAGAGGTCCTTTCACCACTGCCCAGGCACTGCCAAATGGATGGTTGTGCACTGTGCTTGCATGGATATCAGAAATCTAATTTTCCCTCTCTTTTACCCAGGTTTTCTACCAGAGAACTTATGTAAAACCCCAAAGCATTATATATTTTCTGAGAGCAGAAACCCTGGAGTATAAAATGGGGTAGCGGCAATATTTTATGTCACATGAAATTAGCAGATGTTTATCAAATGCATATTTTCAGTAAAAATACACTGTATGCATTAAAATTAGCTTTAAACACAATATAGCCACCAAATATTTATAAAGGATAAAAGATGAGGTTGCAACAAGTAAATAGATACCAAACATGTCAAGCCATATAATTGTGTACTCCCGTAAAATGGTGACAAGCTTCATTATCCAAAATGTGTTACTCCTGGCGGGCTGTGGAAGTGATGCAGCTGTGTGAATCACTTCCACCCAAATATGTATTGCTAGCTGAACAAATTTACACATAGTAGGGTTGATTTACTAAAACCGGAGAGTGCAAAATCTGGTGCAGCTCTGCGTATAAATTAATCAGTTTCTAGTTTTTTTTTTTTTATCAAAGCATAACTGAACAAGCTGAAGTTAAAAGCTGATTGGCTACCATGCACAGCTGCACCAGATTTTGCACTCTCCAGTTTTAGCAAATCAACCCCAGTGTGTTTAAAATCCCATTCTACCAGCTGCTGTTTATAAGATGCGCAGGCAGGTAAGTGGTTAAAGTGTTACTAAACCCACAACAGTAAAATCAGTCTGCATATGCAGAAAAGCATGCTTGTTATACTCACTGTGGAATCTAAGGGGTTAGTCCTCCTCATTGTGTAAAAAGGCTGTATGATCCTATCTTCTCTGATCCTCCCATTCTTCTGCTGTCCCCAATCCATCTACTAATAGCACAGAGCTCTTGGAGTCACTCTGCACATGCTCAGGTTGGTGTGTATTGCTAGAGTGTGTTTTGTTCTTTGGGAGAGTGCATGTGATCAGCACAAGGCCAATCAGCACTGTCCAGACAAAAAGGTCAGGGGTTATGCAGCCTCATAGGGCAGTAAGAGTATGAAAACTCCTTCTGCACGCTTTAACCAGTGCTTAGCTGGACACTGATAGAAGTCACAAGATTGCTATATACTGCTGATGAGAAAAGGTATTTAGCAGTTGTTATTTACTAAAATAATTGCATTTCAATGTTGTGTGTACTGTGGGAGACCAGATATAGTGAATGTAGGGTCCTGGGTTTAGTAACACTTTAAGGAATGAATCACCAAAGTAAATCACAGTTAATCCATGGAGGAACAGACAGCCCTTTTATAATATGGTCACACAAAATACCCCCCACCTACAGCATATGGATTACTTATACGGGCTCAACCCAAATTAAAAATCTCATGAAGAGGAACTCTGGTCAGTTAAAAAAAAATAAAAAAAATAAAATAAAATCAGCAGCTCCATATACTGCAGCTGCTGTCTTTTAATAAACACACACTTCCCAGCCCAAGGATCCAGCCCTGTCATCATCTGGCCACATTTTTGCTGGTCCTCGGGTCCCCAGCACCACCATCTTGCTTGTGGGAAGTAAGCTGTGACTACCTGGTGTTTTACACCAGCTCAGCTTCCCACTGTGCATGCACGATATGACCCAGGAGGTTACAGGTGTGGGAAATGGGAGGATCGCACTTTTGCTCTGCTCGCCTAGGCAAGCAGAGCGGAAAACTGCTAGAAATAGTAGTAGATGGGTGGGGGAGAACAGTGAGCGGAACTTTCCTTTTCAAGTGAAGTTCCATTTTATTGCGCTGGTACACATATCAATAGGCCAAAATTTTTTTGCTACCCATTATTTGGGCTCTATAGCTCATTCCCCCCAAATATAATCCGCTCTCCCACTCTGCTTCCCTAGGCTACCTCTCTTCTGTTATGCTTTCTTTCCTCCTAACACATGGAACAAATTGAACCCTGCTCACTCAGGTTGCTGGCTAGGTAATGAACACCCTATAGACTCTGAGTAGCCTGGCAGTGATCAACAAACACATCATAAATGACCTTATGACGTTCCATAACTACAACTATTTCTCCTCTGACATTATCTGCATTGCAAAATCTCCAATATATCTTTTCTATGAAAAGAAAAACCTTTGTACGTTTACATATAATTAGTATAACTACCAGAATGTGTCTTGATATTGGTCTTCTGTAATCATCCACACATGAGCATTCAGATTCAAAATAGATGGGTCAGCACTAAGGGCCAGTCAGGGCTCTAATGCTTTGCACAGTGCTGTTAGTCAAACACAGAAACATACTTATAAAAGGGTGCCATACAAGGATGACTAATCTACTGATGCTCCTTCACTGACCAGTTATAGGCTGTGGTGCATCCCAGACCATATTACTACTAGGTGCAGGGCCTATGTATGCCGCTTGGACAAGGTATCTGGATCATTAAACTGGCTGATCAGAATTACTAATACTTTGGCAGGTACAATAGTTCACATATATCGGGTGATTAAAAAGTAACTCCCTATTTTAAACTATTTATAAATTTTTTATATGAAGTTACTTTTTTCTCAATTCTTTAATGTATGTTCCTTAATCTATGACAAATAAATCTGCAATACCATGAATGCCGAAAGGTATCTCACTATGCTGCAAGATGAAATCTGGCCAGTTGTCAATACCTGGGAGAATATTGAAGACTTGATTTTTATGCAAGATGGTGCTCCTCCACATTTTGCTATTATTGTTTGTGAATGGCTGAATGAACATTTTCCTGGGAGATTGTTGGGTCGATGTGGTCCGCATGAGTGGCCAGCCAGAAGCCCTGATTTAACACCCTGCAACTTTTTTCTTTGGGGTTGGTTGAAAGAACAAGTTTACTCTACGAAACCAAAGACTTTAGAAGAACTTGAAGGGCAACTACGAGCAGTTATTTCTGCCATCACACAAGAGTTCCTGCAAAGATCAGTTGATGTGATTCCCGAGCGGCTTCAGAAGCTGCAGGCGAATGCTGGTGCACATATCGAATTTTAAATAAAACTCCATGTTATGAGTGTTCTTCTCATATTCATTTTTTGTAAAAATGATGATTAAAAAATAAATAAGATTTTTAAAATAAGGAGTTACTTTTCAATCACCCTGTATATGATTCAAATATGTATTTCAGTGCTTGCCTGATGTTCAGCTTTAAAGTAAACCCGTCATAACACAAATAAGGTTGATACCATTGCTGAATTATTGGCTTTAACACTTTCAGAATAACTGATCAAGAACAAGTATGGAGGTCACAAATTTATATCAGCATAACTGGTCTGGGGCAGTGGTTCAAACTATAAACTATTAAGGAAGCATTCTGAAAAAGAGAGAGGTTAAAATGCAACCTGCATGTATCTCTAAACAGATAAACAGGCCCGGGGGATGGTTACTAACCTTTCGGTGGTCGGCTGTGCTCCTGCCTGGATATGGACCAACTGTGCAAGCAAAAGTCATCTGCTCCCGTCCACACCTGGTCTGGCTCTACCGGAGACCACTGGACACAGAGAAGCCTCCCTTTGTGCCCACGATAGTTACTGAGAGGTTCCTCCTGTAGAACATCCCAAACCTAGAACAGAACATTATCGGCTCTTTAACAAGTCCTGCACTGTGGATATGAATGGCTATGTTGTCAAAGCTTTCTTTTCTCCAGCTTTTATAAATTAAATTCTGATGTCCCAACTTCACATTAGGTCATTTAAAAAACATGCTCCATTTTACACTATTAACCACTTGAGCTCCTGAGGATTTACCCCCCTTAATGACCAGGCCTTTTTTTGCTGTTTGGCGCTGCACTAATTCAAATGATAATTGCGCGGTCATGCAATGCTGTACCCAAACAAAATTTACGTCCTTTTTTTCACACAAATAGAGCTTTCTTTTGATGGTATTTTATCATCTGTGCGCTTTTTATTTTTTGCGCTATAAACAAAAAAAACACGAAAATTTTGAAAAAAAACCCCAATATTTTCTACTTTCAGCTATAAAAAAATATATCATAAACTCAAAGTTAGTCATAAATTTAAGCCAAAATGTATTCTGCTTCCTTTTTTTTAGTAAAAAAAAAATCCTGTGCATTAGCGGGCAAACTGGCGCTATATGGGAGGGGCGATAACACTATCGGAAGTCACCAGTGACACTAATACAGTGATCAGTAAAAATCTGTTCACTGTAATCAATGACACTGGTGACAGGGCAGTGAAGGGGTTAACTGGGGGGCGATAAAGGGGTTAGACGGGATTACAGGTGTATTAGCGGGCAATCTGGTGTGATCTGGGAGGGGCGCTAACACTATCGGAAGTCGCCAGTGACACGGATACAGTGATCAGTAAAAATCGGTTCATTGATCAGTGACACTGGTGACAGGGCAGTGAAGGGGTTAACTGGGGGGGGGGGTGATCAAGGGGTTAAACGGGATTACTGGTGTACTGGCGGGAAATCTGGCGCTATCTGGGAGGGGCGCTAACACTATCGGAAGTCGCCAGCGACACTGATACAGTGATCAGTAAAAATCGGTTCACTGATCAGTGACACTGGTGACAGGGGTTAAACGGGATTACTGGTGTACTGGCGAGCAATCTGGCGCTATCTGGGAGGGGCGCATACACTATCGGAAGTCGCCAGCGACACTGATACAGTGATCAGTAAAAATCGGTTCACTGATCAGTGACACTGGTGACAGGGCAGTGAAGGGGTTAAACGGGATTACAGGTGTACTGGCGGGCAATCTGGCGCTATCTGGGAGGGGCGCTAACACTATCGGAAGTCGCCAGCGACACTGATACAGTGATCAGTAAAAATCGATTCACTGATCAGTGACACTGGTGACATGGCAGTGAAGGGGTTAACTGGGGGGGGGGGGGGGGGGGGGGGGCGATCAGGAGGTTAAATGTGTCCTAGGTGTGTTCTAACTGTGGGTATGTGCTGTTTTACTCACTGTTTGGATGTCTTCTTCTCTGTCTGGAACGGAATGTGTCCAGGCAGAGAAGAATTACATCATATCCTGTCCTGTGTAAATGTCAACACAGGACAGGATAGGACAGGGACCGATCATCTGATTTCAGCCAGACATCACTGGTTGAAATCGAATGATTGATCCCTCTGGGATCAAATGGTGTCACCTGCGGGTCGGCGGGAGCACGCCCCCTGCCGGCGAAAACGTCGGGAGCGCGGAGCCCGTTTTAAAATGTGGTTTTGCGCCCCAGTGCCGCCCTGCACACATATATATGCAGTGGCAGGGCGGCAAGTGGTTAAACAGACAACACAAGATGCCTGAATATAACCTTATTATCTAGAAATAGCTCTCCGAATTTACTTTGTTATTCAGGATTAAGTATTACTGATTACATATGTATAGTCCCCTACCAGTCACCCACCTTCCAATCTTTCCAAAGAAAGAGTTTACTGACCTTACTGACCTCTGAGGCACTCTCTTTGGACAGTGGAATGGCAGGTGCTAGTGCTTAGACATGGGGTTAGGCCCATTAATTTCAAATCAGAGGGGAACAGATAAAGCTTTTCTGGCTGGTTAATAGTAGTTAGCCACATTCAACAATATTTGTTCTGTAATTACAGTTTGTAGCTTATCCAGGCCACTTCTTCAGCTCTAATAAAAAAAAGCTACCTTTATTAGCTTTACTAGGTAAAAGGAGTAATAGGCTTGTTAATTGTGCATCTATTACAAACTATATAAGAAACAAGTATTCCTTTTAAACATTCTTCAGATTACTTAAACTAAATGGAAAATTCTACTTTCAATTAAGAAAAAAAAATACACACACACACGTATTGGGACACCCCTCAAAATCATTGGATTCAGGTGTATAAAATCAAGCACCTAGGCATGCAGACTGCTTCTACAAATATTTGTGAAAGAATGGGTCGCTCTCAGGAGCTCAGTGAATTCAAGCGTGGTACTGTGATAGGTTGCCACCTGTGCAATAAGTCCATCCATGACATTTCTTTGCTAATAAATATTCCACGGTCAACTGTTAGTGGTATTATAACAAAGTGGAAGCAACTGGGAACAACAGCAACTCAGCCACCAAGTGGTAGGCCATGTAAAATGACAGAGCGGGGTCAGTGCACGCTAAAGCGCACAGTATGGGTCCACCGAAACATTTTGGCCGAAAACAGCCCTATCGGCATTTTGCCGATACAGGTGCTGATACAGGGGACTGTGTGTACTGCAGAAGTGTGTGTGTGTGTGGGGGGGGGGGGGGGCTGCGGCAGAGAAAGGCAGGAAAGGAGCAGTGTATACAGTGACTGGCTGTCACTATATGTCAGTGCCGGCTTTTTCTTTTTTTCTTCACTATAGCTCAGAGAATCAACTGTCACATTCCCCCCAGCTAAAAGAAACAAAGTTTCCTTATCGTTTCTTTTAACTTGGGGAAATAAGCTAAGTTTCCTTTTAGTTTCTTTCCCGAGATAAAAGAAATAAAGTTTCCTTTAGCTCTAGGGAAAGTGACAGCTAATTCTGTAAGCTATAGTGAAGAAAAAAAAAAAGCCAGCAATTGCATTTAAAAATCAGCACTGACATATAGTGACAGCCAGTGAGTGAGCCTCTCTGTATACACTGCTCCTCTCCTGCCCCCTCCACTGCTCCACTCCTCACCTCCTCCCCCTACAAAGAGGACCTGTCACTCATATGCTATCACTATTGGTTCTCTATGTGATAGCAATAAAATCATAAGTTAAAAAAAAATAAAATAAATTGTGTGTAGAGATCTTCATGGAATGGGTTTTCATGTCCGAGCAACTGCATCCAAGCCTTACATCACCAAGTGCAATGCAAAGGGTCGGATGCAGTGGTGTAAAGCACGCAGCCACTGGACTCTAGAGCAGCGGAGATGTGTTTTCTGGAGTTAGGAATCACGTGTCTTTGTCTGGCAATCTGATGGATGTGTCTGGGTTTGACGATTGCCAGGAGAACAGTACTTGCCTGACTGCATTGTGCCAAGTGTAAAGTTTGGTGGAGGGGGATTATGGTGTGGGGTTGTTTTTCAGGGGTTGGGCTCAGCCCCTTAGCTCCAGTGAAGGGAACTCTTAAGGCGTCAACATACCAAGACATTTTGGACAACTCCATGCTCCCAACTTTGTGAGAACAGTTTAGGGATGACCCCTTCCTGTTTCAACATGAGTGCACAAACCAAGGTCCATTAAGACATGGATGAGTGAGTCTGGGGTGGAGGAACTTGACTGGCCTGCACAGAGTCCTGACCTCGAAAGAACACCTTTGGGATGAATTAGAGCGGAGACTGTGAGCCAGGACTCCTCCCCCGACATCAGTGCCTGACCTCACAAATGTGCTTCTGGAAGAATGGTCAAACCTTCCCATAGACACACTCCTAAACCTTGTGGACGGCAAGTGGAAGTTAAATGAGAGGCAATGGCTGCAACTGCAATTTCTCTGACTCTGGCAGTGAAAGGGTAAGAGCAAACTCAAACTCCAGTTTGCTTATGTTAATGATCTAAATAGGAGCACCTGGTGTCTTTTAAAACCAGCAGCTTGCAAGCTTTAACCATTTGATCTCCAGAAGGTTTTACCTTCTTCATGACCAGGGTATTTTTTTTTTGCTGTTCAGCACTGTGTATGTAAACTAGCAATTTTTCTTTTTGCTATATAAATGAAAAAAATACAGGACAATTTGAAAAAAAAAAAAAAAAAAAATCTTAGTTTATGTTATAAAATTTTGCATATAAATAATCTTTTTTCATAAAATTAGGCCACAATGTGTTCTGCTACATTTCTTTGGTAAAAAATAACCCAAATCAGTGTATATTATTTAATCTGTGTGAAAAATATAGCATCTACAAACTATAGTATATATATTAGACGTTTTATCACTCCTGATGTACTGACGGCCTATCTCAATTCCCAAGGCCACAAAATGCCAGGATAGTACAAATACCCCCAAAAGACCCCTTTTTGGAAAGCAGACAGTCCGAGGTATTTAGAAAGAGGCACAGCAAGTTTTTTCAAGTTGCAGGGTTTTTTTTTTTAAGAAGTTAAATAAAAATTTGTTTTTATTTTTCATAATTTTTTTTTTTTTTTAACATACTCTCCCCAGTGATGTACAGCATCATCATATGACTGGTATGGCAGCGACCAGGGATACTGACTGGTGACAGTATTTAGAAAGAAATGAAAATTAGATAATTTTTCATTACATTTTTTTAAAATAATCCCCCCCCCCCTTTTTTTTTTTTTTTTTTTTTTTTTTTTTTTTTTTAACATACTAGTTGCATAGTGACCCTGTACTATTCTGGGGGGGGGGGGGGGGGGGTGAACAGGGTTTTTTTTTTTTTTGGACACTGTTATTGCTGGTTATACTGATGATCACTGTAACAGCAATAGTTTGAACTGTTATAAATGGCTTTCATTCATGACTCAATGTTTACTATTGTGATGCTGTGATTGGCCCACAGCTATCACATGGTACAGGATTCTGTGACTGACCCAGGTAGCATGTGATCACTGGTGACCAATCACAGATCACACACATTAGTAAACAATGATGTCATGAATGGATTCCATTCATGACTTGTTTACTAGGTGACATGTGATAGCACAGTGATCACGTGGTATCTGCGCTGCTTACAGTGGCCTAATATCAAGCACCACAATCTGCTGTGTCTGGAGGACACAGCAGTTGCAGAGCACACTGCTGTGCGCCCCTGGGGCACATGCAGTGCACATGAGCACCTTGACGTACTGGTATGTCAAGATGTCTGGGGAAGCCGCCATCCAGCAGTAAAATTACTGACAACTGGTTGGCAGGTGGTTAAATCAACATTAACCAGTGCTGCCTGCTAGTTTAAAGCTTGCATTTCCTTTAATATCTGTGTTTAACATTTTCAAAATTGAGCTGAAGAATGCTTTAAAAACTCTTCAAAAAGCTGACTTAAAGCTTTGTAAATTCCTCGTAAAAGCTTTCTGTGCACACTGCTCATATACAAGCTGAAGCCCATTTGTTCAGCAGCAGACTTGTCTGTGAAGTCTTAGGAAGGCTCTGGCGCACAGTGTAAAAATTTTGAACTTGTATGCAGAAGCAGTCACTGGGGTTTATAATGTGTGCCTGGTATAAATGCATCTTAAAAGCAGACTAGGTTTTTCCTATAATCTCTTAGATTGCAAACTCCAAGGAGCGGGGCCCTCCTAACCCTCTTGAACTGTATTGTCTCCCTTCATATTGTAAAGCGCTGAGCAAACTGTTGGCGCTATATAAATCCTGTATAATAATAATAATCTGCTTCGTTTGATTTACATGTAGGTCTGATACTTGTATACACAACCCCTACAGTTAATAGAGAATAGATTACATTGCTTATCTACTGAAGATATGAAGCACTGTTCATACAGCATGAGTTTATATATGCAGAAAAATAAAATGATTGAAGTACGGAAACTGTGCCACATATAGATGACCTTACCATGTAGCTCCTCTTACCTGTGATGTACCATCATAGCTGGCAGATGCCAGTCTGGCATCATGGTGAGGGCTCCATGAAAGACTTGTGATCTTTGCTGTGTGCCCAGACAGGGTTCGGTAAGGCTCTGTGATGGTGCTGGGGGTATCAGAGAAGTTTTCTGGGGAATACAAAATACAAAGGTTACAAACATTCCTTATTTATTAACCATCTGTAAACAAATAATCAGAGTGAGAGCAATAAAGCCTCATACACACAAATATTGGCCGAATGATTGCTTGTTTTCTTTTGCATGCTAGTCTCATATCGAAAATGAAGAGATTACTAAAGTTACGAAAATTCTCACATGACAGAATACAACTTTGAAAGTGATGTAACGTATAGCATTGCAATGTATTCTTTCGTTTCCAAGCATGTGCAGTCTTAGTCGCTCTACTTTTTTTGGATGAAAACTGTACTGATACTTGTACTGTACTTGAACTCTAACTGCTAACCTGCTAAAGGCTTTTAAGCATTGTCTATGGATAATTTAAAAGAAGTATGGGCTCCCCCCCCCCCAATTATACTTACCGAGGTGGATGCAGCATTGGTCTGATGCTGCATTTGTCCCCTGACGGCACTCTTTCAAGTGTGAGAACTTCCCATTCACAGCCACTGTGAGCAGAGCGGTAACTGTCAGTCACCGCTGTCTGCTCTGCCCCCACCACGCGTTCACAGGAGCGCTGGGTCGTGGAGGGGGAGGAAGTGGCTGGCTCAGGCTCTCAGTGCCTCACTGAGAGGCTGAGCCAGGTGCTGCTCCAGATTCTGTTGTGGATCCTGACTTTAAAGTCAGGATCTTTCCCCAGCCTGGACCGGCTGCATGACATCAGCTGACAGTGGGCTTCAGCCTGCTGTCATCTTCAAACAGGTCACAGGAGTGCAGAACGAACTGCACTCCTGTGATCCACAGGAGAAGTACAGCTAAAAGAGTTTTTGCTGTATTTCTTTAATGCACCATAGTTTGCTTCCATTCCACGGGTGTGCGCAATTTTAAAGCGTGACAGGTTAAGTATCTATTTACTTTACATTATCTTTTACATTTTACCAAAAATTGGGTATTATATTGTGTTTATGTGCACTAAAATTCATTAAAGTGTATTAGCAGGCCCAATGTCAGATATTTTCTGCAGTGCTGACTGCAGGGGAAATGAGGTGCTGCAGCTCAAAAAGGATTTGTTGTCTATTCTTGTTCTGGTGACAATTGTAAAATATTTCTATTTTCCATCAAAAACAATGAAAAAAGTGCATGTGTGTCAAACTTAAGGTAGATATTTAACAGGATCTGAAGCCACTATACAAATTTTCTCATGACATTATAAAGGAAACCTACTTTAAGGCTGCCCATACATTATACAATTTTCTTGCGATTTTTGGTTTAGATTTACCAAAAACTATATAATAGAAGGTCAAACCTAACAACACTTTCAATTGTATCCAATTAGGCAGGCTCTTGCACTACATAGTTGAAATTGGACAGAAAAAGTGTAGTGTGTATGGCCAGTCTAATGCAGGCCATAGATGGGTCGAAAATCGGCCGATTTTTCAGCCGAAAATAAAATCGGCCGATTTTCGGATCGTTAGTGGGCGATTTAGTCGGCCAATTTTCGGTATTTTGGCCGTTTTTTTTTTCCGGTAAAGTTGGAAAAAAATCGGCCGATTTTGCCGATCGGCCGATTTTCGCGGCAATTAGTGGGCGAATCGGCCGATTTTTTACCGATAAAAAAACTGCGCATGAGCAGTGACCTGCAAGAGGAAGACAAAAAGAAGAAAAAGAAGAAGAGGAAGAGGATGAAGAAGAGGAAGAAGAAGAGGATGAAGAAGAAGAGGATGAGGATGAAGAAGAAGAGGATGAGGATGAAGAAGAAGAGGATGAGGATGAGGATGAGGAAGAAGAAGAAGGATGAGGATGAAGAAGAAGAAGAGAGGATGAGGATGAAGAAGAAGAAGAGGAAGAAGAAGAGGATGAAGAAGAAGAGGATGAGGATGAAGAAGAAGAAGAGGATGAGGATGAAGAAGAAGAAGAAGAGGATGATGATGATGAAGAGGATGATGATGATGAAGAAGAAGAGGATGAGGATGAAGAAGAGGATGAGGATGAAAAAGAAGAAGAAGAAGAGGATGAGGATGAAGAAGAAGAGGATGAGGATGAAGAAGAAGAAGAAGAAGAGGATGAGGATGAAGAAGAGGATGAGGATGAAGAAGAGGATGAGGATGAAGAAGAAGAAGAGGATGAGGATGAAGAAGAAGAAGAAGAAGAAGAAGAAGAGGATGAGGATGAAGAAGAAGAAGAAGTAGGATGAAAATAAGAATAATTCCAGTCCAGCAAAAAGTGTATCTGCAGAGAGCTCCGCTATTTCTGACAGTTCTCTGACAGTTCCTTGACATTTACAGCGGTTGAAACATTGTATCTATTTGTTTCTGAATAAAAACATCTGTATCCTAAATGGAAATAAATAGATACAATGTTTCAACCGCTGTAAATGTGAAGGAACTGTCAGAAATAGCAGAGCTCTCTTCAGGGACACTTTTTGCTGGCTGTAGAAGGGATGAAAATCGGCCGATTTTTTTTACCATTGATGGCAACGTCGGCCGCTTGAACGACCGAATTTTCGTTTTTTAAAAGAAAAATCTGCCGTTTTTCTCCCCATCTATGGCCTGCATTACTCTCAGAATTCCTCTGCCCTTTTCTACCCCATGTAAGAGCTGTGGGTTGTAAATATGTATTCTTACCCAGTGCGCCCTTTAGGCTGTGCACGTAAACCACAGCGTTGTTGGATCCTGATGCCAGGAGAAAGCTTAGGTTTGAATCCGCACTGTGGTCATGATGCCAGCGAAGAGCATTCACCAGTTTATGATGTTGCTGGATAGTGCAGATCAACTGAAGCACTGGCGCCCGGAAAATTTCAATACTCCTATAATAACAAAGCAAGATACCAGGAAAAATATATGTAAAAGAGTGGCATGCAATTTGTGATTTCCAACTCCAAAAGACAAGAAGAATATTGGGACCATGCAATATGCCATGTACATATAAAAAGCATCCTAAAAGTCACTTCCTGAGCTATCTTTCTTAGTTGTAAGCATCCTACCTCTTGAGCTGCCCACCCACCTACTACTTTCTCTGGTCTTCCCTGCAGGGCATTTAGTGGAAAATTCTCAGAAGTCAAAATACTGACTTCTGTCAAGAGGGAATAGCCACGCACTGATCGGAATTTGACTGGCCCTGTTGAACCGGAATCATTTCAAACAGTGTACAGCCAGTTTTAACTCCTCTTCGCTATATCAGACAAAAAACAGTAGTTCACATTGTCCAGCTTGCTCTGTGTGTGGTGCTCCATTCCTTCCATGGCTCCTCGGCTCACACTGGGACACAGCAACACAAAATAACTGCTATGCCTTGCATATGCACCAAAACTGCTGGCTTATAAGGGGTTAAGTTAAATGAGGTGTAAGCCACCTCATGGACTTGTCTCTTTTATTAACGTACATTTTTGTTGTGTGTATGGAGTACAGTTATCACTATACTTGAGGTGTTTCGACACTGGACCTTCGGGTTGCTGATACAGCAACTGCAAAGTCATTTGCAGCCACTCTGCCTGCCCCTCCACTTGCCAATTTAGGGTGGCTTTGTAATATGTAGGGATGCACCAAAATTATGGTGGCCAAAATATATCAGCCGAAAACAGCCCTATCAGCACTTTGTCAATAGGAAAATTTTAGCCAATACAGGTGCCGGTAAAGGGGCCTGTGTGTACTGCAGATGTGGAGTGGGGGGGGGTGGAGAAAGGCAGGAGAGGAGCAGTGTATACAGTGAGCTACCGCTAAATGTCACTGCCTGTTTTTAAATGCAATTACCGGCTTTTTTTTTCCCTTCACTATAGATCCAAGAAGGAGCGGTCATTCTCCCCAATACTAAAGGAAAATTAGGGGTGGGATCACTGAGTAATGTCACTGGTGACTCCACCCCTTTATTTCCTTTAGCGTTGGGGAGAATGACAGCTCCTTTTCAGAGCTATAGTGAAGAAAACAAAGCCGGTAATTGCATTCAAAACAATGCCGGTTTTTAATTTTTTTTTCCTTCACTATAGCTCTGAGAAGGAGCCATCATTCTCCCCACTGCAAAAGGAAATAAAGAGGCGGGATCACTCAGTGACATTACCCAGTGACCATGCCCATTAGTTTTCTTTAGCGGCGGGTAGAATGACAGCTCCTTCTTGCAGCTATAGTGAAGGGGGAAAAAAAGCCAGTAAAAACCGGCAGTGACATATAGGGGCAGCCAGCGAGGGAGCCTGAGTGTATACACTGCTCCTCTCCTGTCCCCTCCTTGCACACACTGCCCCCCCCCCCACAAAGAGGACCTGTCACTCATATGCTATCACATAGGGAACTATTAGCAATAAAATCATACGTTAAAATAATAAATAAAAATACACATTAAAGTTAATAAAAAAAAAAAAATTTAGCCTGTTTCTGTTTCGGTATCTGTTTCAGCACCAGAATTTTAATTTCGGTGCACCACTAGTATTATGTGAACAAATTATTCTATGAATGGACAACAGAGGGGAGAATTGAGCAGAATGACTGCTGTGAATCTCTCCTGTCAAGAGTGCTGGGAGCTAATAGCAAAAACGTAAATAGTAAAAAAAGATAAGTCCATGAGGTGACATACACCTTGCTTGACTTAACCCCTTATAAACCAACATTTTTTTCTTTTACAAAGAATTTTATTGTAGAATAGAGAACATCAGAGAATCAGTCAAAAACAGATGCACTGATTGACAGAAATAAAACACAAGTTTTCTGGTGAATAATACAGAGTATGTACTGATGGAAAGACAAGAAAATAAACTTCGTACACAAGTGCCATATATAAAAAAGGAAAACAAAAAACAATAAGTTGGAAAAATGGTAGACATTTAGAGACCAATGACATAATAAACTAAAAGAAAAAGTTGTCACTATATCTGCATACAGAAGGCGGGGAAGATGGAAAATGAAGCCTCACTGAATGCATATTGATACTCTATATTCTGGGCTCCCGATGGAGTCGGGGAAATGGATATAGTATTGCTGGTACGATACTCAAGGCAGAAATCACAATCAGCACAAATATCGTAAAGACAGACTAAACAGAAGGAAAGAGAGGAACGAAGAGAAAGGAGACAAAAAAAAAACAAACAAAAAAAACAAAACAAAGAAAAAGGGCTCCAGGGGGACCAAGACGGACGAAAAGAAAAGAAAAATAAAATAATATGTAAATCTTATAACGACAAGAGGGACTGGTCGAATCTCGACGGTTGGGCTATATCAAGCCAGGGACGCCAGGTCTGCAGGAACTTTGTATGGGTGTCGAACAGTATAGCCGTCAGCTTTTCATTAACCATTATAAGGTTCATTCGATTTTTGACAGCCTCGAAGCTGAGGAGGAGAGTCTTCCAAGCCCTTGCGATCGTCAGCTTGGTAGCCATGAATAGATGCGATGCCAGCTGCTGTTCAGGACGAAGTAGGCCTACTAATGGTTTAAATAAGAGCGCTTCATACGGGTTGCGCTTAATATCTGTGTGAAACATAGTGCGGAGAAGGGCATAAACCCTGATCCACAATCTGCAAACCTTAGGGCAAGTCCACCAAATATGGACCATGGTGTCTATTTGTTGACAACCCTGAAAGCAAGTCGGGGAGTATGTGGGGATAAAACGAGCCAGACGAGCAGGCGGGTAATACCATCTATAAATAACCAACCAACATTTTTTCAAACTGCTACAATTCTGGAGTTCTGTTTTAAGGGGAGAGAGAGGGAGAGGAGATTAAAGGAAACAAAACCCAGATTGTTCAGTACAATTGATTCCTGAAAGTAAAGGCTGTTTAATCAAAACAATTGTTAAGAGCATTATTTTTTGGGACTGCAGAGAGTGTGGACCTCTTCAGTGCCAGCCTTATAACAAAGCTCCATACTGATTAGGAAGTTACAGGCTTTGGTGGACAGTTACTTCTGCTGTCAGACAAACAGATTAGGAGTGCTCACTGCAAAAATCAAGCTACAGTTGAAATGTTTTCAAGGATGTCTGAGCAAAATACTAGTGTGCAAAGATATTATGACCCAGGTACTAACACTTGCTTTTAGGTGTGCTTTTAGGTGTACATCTATGAGGATGTGGCAATTATGTAACATCCCCTGTTAGACTGGTTTAGTACAAATCACTTACCCATCTTCATTGCCAATGGCTAAGTGCTGTGAGTCAGGTTTCCAGCTCAGTTCGGTGTGTGCAGGCAACTTGTGCTGACCAAACAGAGACAAAACTCATCAAACCACAAGTACATTATTTACTCAAAGGAAGCACTGTCAACACTAACAAAAGGTACAGTTCAGTAAAATTTGGAAATATATTGCTCACAATACATGTTACACTCTAACTGCAATCTTTTCAGAAAACATTTTAATTTGTACAGTACATGACACAGCCTGAATATTCAAAGAGGGATGGGCAACAAAAGGTAAAACAGAGCAGTGCCCAAAAAAAACAAACATGGGTCAAAGACCCAACTCAGAATGCTGCTCAAAGTACCTAGCGGCCAAAAGCTGTATACGCAGAGGCATGGACATGCACCAGGTGATATACTTACAAACATTGGAAAGCTCCCACTTATCTGGTAGAGTGATCATGTACAAGTACTGGAGATACCTTGTCCTCAAATGCACAAGCCCCCACAATGGGTGTCCTTGAAGAGACGCTGTTTGTCAGAAACACTGACAGCGCTGACCACATCAAAAAGTGGAGAGCAATTTCTTCGGGATGCTTTGGAGCACAGCATAAAGAAGGAAGAACAATGTCTCTATTAAGGTGGAAGGCTGAGACCACCTTGGGTAGAAAGGAGGGTCTTAGAAGCAAGACCAGTTTATCTTTGTGAAGAATCAAGGAAAGGTTTTTTGAATGATACAGCCGCCTACTCAAAACGCATCTGACTGACGTGATAGCCATCAGGAAGGCCAGTTTACAGGTAAGTTCTCCCAAGGGGAATTCCCTAATGGGATAAAAGGGTGGTTTATGCAGGGCAGACAGAACCTAATTGAGATCCCAAGGAAGCATGGGGTGTTGTAAAAGGGGGTCTAATTCGTGAGACACCTTGAATAATGGTTCAAACAAGAAACAGTGAGGCCAAAGGCTTCTGGATTAGGGGAGATGAGGTCTGAACCTGTCCCTTACAAAGTACCTAAACTTTTGTTGAGAAAAAAAAAAAAAAAAAAAAAAAAACAATCCCGTCTGGGTGATAAATGTACATTACAAGGATTTTATCAAACTCTGTGGTAGATTCCTACCTCTTTTCTGCTCAGAAGAAAAAGCTGTTTGTTCGTCTGTCTTTCAGATACTGATTCTAAATGGGTGCAACTTGCAGAGCTCTAATTAGAAGAGTGACTGCATTCCTTTAGAAGTGATAAATACAATGAAGTGCTGTGCTCTCCTTATATACATTATTACTGTACTCTTATAATCAAAGCAAAATGGGAAAAAACATATGTGATAAAAGATCAGCTAATTTAGGTATCCAGTGAAAAACCATAAAGTGAATTTAAAGTCCATCCAATGTGTCCTTTATACTTAAGCGATATATAACCACAAATAAATGTCTCTAAAAATCCAGTGCTCCTTCATTCAAATCTCAATATACAGCAGGTAGAATAAGTATTGAACACGTCACCATTTTTCTAGGTTAATATATTTCTAAAAGGTACTGTTGACATGAAACTTTCACCACGTCGGTAACAATCCATACATACAAAAAACCAAAATAAATAAGTTCAGAAATTAAGTTATGTGTAATAAAATGGAATGACAAAGGGAAAAAGTATTGAACACTTGAAGATAGGGAGGTGCAAAAAGGCATGGAAAGCCAAGACACCAGCTGAAATCTATCAGTAATTAGAAAGCAATCCTGCCCCTTGTCAGTGCAAATTAATAGCAGCTGGTTCAATCTCAACGGATGGCCTATAAAAAGGTGTCTCATTACCAAGGTGTCACACAAGAAACATCTCATGATGGTAAAAGAAAAGACCTTTACAACCTTATTATTGCAAAACATACTGTTGGCATTGGTTACAGAAGTATTTCTAAACTTCTGAATTTTCCAGTTAGCACTGTTGGGGCCATAATCCGGAAGTGGAAAGAACATTTCACCATAAACTGGCCATGACCAGGTACTCCTTGCAAGATTTCTGACAGAGGAGTGAAAATAATTATCAGAAGAGTAGTCCAAGATCCAAGGACCACTTGTGGAGAGCTTCAAGACCTGGAATTAGCAGGTACAATTGTTTTAATGAAACAATAAGTAATGCACTCAACCGCCATGGCCTGTAAGCATGCTCAACACGCAAGACTCCATTGCTGAAGAAAAAGCATGTTGAAGCTTGTTTAAGGTTTGCTGCACTACATTTAGACAAGCCTGTGAAATACTGGGAGAATATAGTCTAAGTCAGATGAGCCCAAAATTGAACTCTTTGGATACCATAATACACACCATGTTTGGAGGTCAAATGGTACTGCACATCACCCCAAAAACATTATACCAACAGTAAAGTTTGGATGTGGAAATATCAGTTTGTTTTTCTGCATACAGTACTTGCAAACTTCATATCATTGAAGGAAGGATGAATGTAAAAATGTACCAAGACATTCTTGATAAAAATCTGCTGCCATCTGCTAGGATGATGAAGATGAAATGAGGGTGGACATTTCAGCAAGACAATGATCCCAAAGACAAGGAAACTCTCAGTTGGTTTCAAAGAAAGAAAATAATGCTGCTAGAATGGCCCAGCCAATCACCTGACTTGAATCCAACACAAAATCTATGGAAAGAACTAAAGATCAGAGTTTACAAAAGAGGCCCTTCAAGATTTGAAGACTATGTGGAAGAACGGGCCAAAATCACACCTGAGCAATGCACGCAACTAATTTCTCCATACAGGAGGCATCTTGAATCTGTCATTACCAACAAACGATTTTGTTCAATACTTTTTCCCTCTGTCAATCCACTCTGTTACACATACCTTAGCCGCTTACCCGCCGCCATATAGCAGATATACTGCTACACGGCGGCACGGGTGTGCAAAATCACACGCATATATATATATATGTGTGATTTTGCATTTCCGGGTATGGGGCGTGCATGAGTAGCACACGCGCCCTACCCGTGCCACCATTCGCAGCTGCGGATGTCAATCACCGGGTCCCGGCCAGTGATTACCCACTGGCACCTGGTGATTACCACCAATCACTGATGTTTACAGTCTTCCTGTCAGCTCGGGCACACTGCTCGGGATGACTGCGCACAGCCATCCCAATCAGTGTGCTTACAGTGAAGCACACACCCTCTGCCCCCTAGTAAAACACTCCCTACACACAGTTACTGCAGGTAATGTAGCTAATAATTTTCATGGTCAGTGTAGTGGCTACAGCATCAATTCAATAACAGGACAAACCTGCCTTACCTGTCCATGTTGCTGGCCACTAATTGTATCCACAGTGAGCATAACTTCCAGAGGGATCATTAGGGTCTGTAAACCATAGGAATATATCACAACCTGGGGCCTGTATGGCGTGTTTCAGATGTATGCACCCAAGCAGGAACCAGTGCCCAAAGCAATATTACAGGCCATCCCTATGGTGTGGGGTCTAGTTGTAGTTCCTAAGGGATAACCAAGGTTTTACCGATCTGGATGCACTGCTTCTAATGTTATAGCAGGAGGCAGTGAAGAGTTGACAGAAGAATCCAAAAAAAAACTAAAGAAAACTAGTTAAGCAAAGAGAACTTCTTCATAAGAGAGAAGAGGTCCATCACCTAAGTACACTAGCAAGAAAAACAAACAAACAAGGAGTAGGGTAGGATTATAGGGGTATGCCTTGGGGCATGCCCAAAACTTTTACCAGTGTCCAATCACCTTTAGGTAGCCGCCACTAACCCAAGGTAAATGAATATCCAGTCTGTGTTCTGTACTCTTCAAATATAGGCATTTACTTGGACTGGCCCTTTAAATTTATCTACCATTAAATTCCTAGTATAGGAAATGAATGACCATTTCCAAATATTCTTGTTGTACAACAATGTTGCTGTTTGAAGGATGCTTTCAATAGAAATGCTCTGATTTTTATTGTAAATGCTTTCATTCTGTATCATCCGGGAAAGCTAGCAAGCCACAGCAACTTGTTGTGATGTAATTCTTCCCCCTAATGGACTGGGACTAATAATGAAGACTCACCTTAATGTTATTGGTGTCTCGGATCAGCTTGTTAATATCCTGAGCCTCCAAGGTAAGTTTCCAGGGATGATGCTGGAAAAAATGATACCTTCTCCACCACAGCTGTACAGGGTGAATGAAGGTCGGTCCCCTTCTGCTCCTGTAGGTGGTTTGTCAAAAATTAGTTTTCTATCAGATTATTAAAGGTAGGACTAGGATCATAATAACTGTAAACTCACCAAATGAGAATGGGGGCAGTGGTGGACCCCAGCACATTGAGTACACAGTCTTTTTATGATAAGTGCTAGAGATCTGTGGGGGCCTAGAGAGAGAAAAAGGAGCAAATTCACAGACAACTAACTGCAATTCTTCCTATTATCTGCTATTGTACAAGGTTAAACACGAACACCAGACAGAATGTAAAATCGAATCAAGAATAAAGATAATTTATAGTAATCCAAAAATAATGGCTTATGATCTTTACTGATCCGCTCTAGATTATTAGCAGCACTATCCCACTCTGGACAGCCCCACCCAATGATCATGTACAGTTGTACAGTAGGCACCACCAACAGTGGCTTACAGTTAGCACTCCTTCCATGCAGTGCTAGGGTCCATAGCTTGAACCATAACACTAACCTGGCATGTTCTCCCTGTGTTTGCTTTGGTTTCCTCTGCTTGCTCTAGTTTTCAAAGACACACTAGTAGGGTAATTGGCTTCTAATTTTGCCCTAGTAGTTGTATGCATGCAAGATAGAGGCCTTAGATTGTAAGCTACTTAAGGGCATGGGCTGATGTTAATGTACAATATGTATAGTGAAGCATAAATTGTCAGCACTATAAGAATACTTGTACACAAAAAATAAACGGTGGGGATTCTGCATCCTCCTATGTCACCATGCATCTAGTGTCGGCCTACAAAAGGACCATGGACCATATAAGGATGATGCCACTGTAGGTCAGAATTCTCTCATGCCTTCCCCCCAGCTTTGGAGGACATCATAGATGGCAGGAAATGTGGACTTGACAAATATGTACACATCACAAGCCAGTGTTGCAGAAGTTCTAATGTCTCTCTCTTAGCCCCACTTGGCTGGGGTTTCTTTACTTAGAGGATGTCCTTTGTCCTAGTTCATCTCATGGCTGGGGGTTTCTTTACATGCTTTAATGCATCAAGGAAATAATGATTTTAAATAGTTTCTAAAATATTTAGAATAGTTTTTGGATTTTACTTTTAGCTAATGCAGAGTGCTTGAGCTCTACTGCATTCAGTGCAGCCAGAGTGGCCCTTTCACCCACCCACCGAGTTAACTCAAACCCTCGAACAACTCTTCTGAAGTGTACACAAGTCCCATTTAGATGCTTTGCATTGTGCCTATTGACACAGTGAAGTATTAGGATGCACATTAGGATTATTGTTTTTACAATATACAGTGCCTTGAAAAAGTATTCATATCCCTTGACATCTTCCACATTTTGTCATGTTACAACCAAAAACTTAACTGTATTTTATGTGATAGACCAACACAAAGTGGCACATAATTGAAGTGAAGTGGAAGGAAAATGATAAATGGTTTTCAAAATTTTTTTACAAATAAATATCTGAAAAGCGTGGCATGCATTTGTATTCAGCCCCTTTACTCTGATATCCCTAACTAAAATCTAGTGTAACCAATTGCCTTCAGAAGTCACCTAATTAGTAAATAGAGTCCACCTTTGTGTAATTTAATCTCAGTTTAAATACAGCTGTTCTGTGAAGCCCTCAGAGGGTTTGTTAGAAAATATTAGTGAACAGCATGAAGGCCAAGGAACACACCAGACAGGTCAGGGATGAAATTGTGCAAAGGTTTAAAGCAGGGTAAGGTATATAAAAAAATATCCCAAGCTTTGAACATCTCACGGAGCACTGTTCAATCCATCATCTGAAAATGGAAAGTGTATGGCTTAACTGCAAACCTACCAAGACATGGCCATCCACCTAAACTGACAGACCGGGCAAGGAGTGAATTAATCAGAGAAACAGCCAAGAGGCCCATGGTAATTCTGGAGGAGCTGCAGAGATCCACAGCTCAGGTGGGAGAATCTGTCCATAGGACAACGATTAGTCATGCACTCCACAAATATGGCCTTTATGAAAAGTGGCAAGAAGAAAGCCATTGTTGAAAGAAAGCCATAAAAAGTCCCGTTTGCAGCCATGTGGGGGACACAGCAAACATGTGGAAGAAGGTGCTCTGGTCAGATGAGACCAAAAATTTACTTTTTGGCCTAAAAGTAAAACACTACATATGGTGGAAAACTAACACTGCACATCACCCTGAACACAGCATCCCCACTGTGATCCATGGTGGTGGCAGCATCATGTTGAGGGGATGCTTTTCTTCAGCAGGGACAGGGAAGCTGGTCAGAGTTGATTGGAAGATGGATGGAGCTAAATACAGGGCCATTTTAGAAGAAAACCTGTTAAGAGACTTGAGACTGGGGCGGAGGTTCACCTTCCAGCAGGACAAGGATCCTAAATATACAGCCAGAGCTACAATGAAATGGTTTAGATCAAAGCATATTCATGTGTTAGAATGGCCCAGTCAAAGTCCAGACCTAAATCCATATTGAGAATCTATGACAAGACTTGTAAATTGCTGTTCACAGATGCTCTCCATCAAATCTGACAGAGCTTGAGCTATTTTGCAAAGAAGAATGGGCAAAAATGTATTTCCCTCTCTAGATATGCAAAGCTGGTAAAGACATACCCAAAAAGACTTGCAGTTGTAATTGCAGCGAAAGGTGGTTCTACAAAGTATTGATTCAGGGGGGCTGAATACAAATGCACGCCACACTTTTCAGATATTTATTTGTAAGAAATTTTGAAATTCCACTCCACAGTAATGTGCCACGTATTTTCCTCCCACTTCACAATTATATGCCGCTTTGTGTTGGTCTATCACATAAAATCCCAATAAAATACATTTACGTTTTTGGTTGTAACATGACAAAATTTCAAAGGGTATGCATACTTTTTCAAGGCTCTGTTTTAAAGAAACCTAAAGGCAGTAAGCAGAAGGGTTGCTCTGGCTCCTGTTTGGGCTCCAATGACCATAGCTGGTGCAAACACTCTACAGGTTTTCATCTAAAACTACTCAAAACATGTACTCAATATTATATTAAAGTAGAAGCCCAGCTTGGACCAGACACTGCAAGGTCCCAACTATTATCTTTTTTTATAGTCTGGAAAAGCCTATTGCGGGTCATTTCACTGCAAACGGACTCTCTTTGACTTCATGAATAACCCTCACCAAATACCACCCCCTGTCCAGTGAGTGTACTCTTACTTGCTCCTGGAAGGGTGGATGGAAGAGCTTAGTCATAAAGTCAGATTTCAGTAACAAAAGGGAAACTAAATTATAGAGGAGAACAAAACAAGCTTTTCTGGCTTCAGTATCCTCTCGTATAATTTTTACATACTAATATGTTATAGTTAATTTGAAAATTAGTTCTATTGCATCATAAGCGGCTTGATTCTGGATGCGGCTTGCAGCCCCCAGCTGTTTGCCCAGATATCCACCCTCCATTCAATAGCAGACCAGTGTATTTCTCTTACTTGCTCGAGAAGACATCATAAATTCCAACCTTGCCATCACAACCGTTTTCATTCCCTGGCAGTAATCATGAAATTTTGGCATTGGATATTAAAAATATGACTGATCATGTAAAAAAAGAGGTCTTTTATTTAAGGATAATGATCATATGAACCCATTTATTATCACATAGTTGTTTGGCTCCTTTTTAAAACATAATGGTAACAGAAAAGTTTACAGACATTGGAATGCTCGGCCCTGGTACAGGAGACAAGGGTGACACACACCGGTTATAATGTCAATTAAAGGTTAATTTCCTACATCTGTGGGTTTTTAAGATGCAATTAGTGTTTGTGTATAAATGCACCAAGTAGGCTAGATACTGAGCCATGTGGAGCAGAAAAGAACTGTCAAAAGACCTGCGTAACAAGACAATGGAACTTTATAAAAATAGAAAAGAATATAAAAAGATATCCAAAGCCTTGAATATGCCAGTCAGTACTGTTCAATCACTTATTAAGAAGTGGAAAATTCAGGGATCTCTTGATATCAAGCCAAGGTCAGGTAGACCAAGAAATATTGCAGCCATAACCGCCAGAAGAATTGTTTGGGATACAAACAAAATCCCATGGGAAACTTGAGGAGAAATACAGGCTGCTCTGGAAAACGACAGTGTGGTTGTTTCAAGAAGCGCAATACGACGATACTTGAACACAATAGAGCTGCAAGGTCGAGTTACCATAAAGAAGCCTTTACTGCGCCAACGCCACAAAAAAGCCTGGTTACATTACACCCAACAACACCATGACACACCTCACAGATTCTGCCACACTGTAATCTGGAGTGACAAGACCAAAATAGAGCTTTTTTATGGTCGCAACCATAAGTGCTACATTTGGCCAAGGGGTCAACAAGGCCTTTAGTGACAAGCAGGGCTTTTTTTTGGAACGCAGTTTTGGCACCTCCAGCACTCCTTGTATGTAATGGCAAGGAATGCTGGAGTTTGCTTGAGGATCTCTTGATGGTGGCTGCTGGATATCTATTAGTGTGTGATTGTGATGGGGAGATCTATTGATGCTAGTGGGGGATCTATTGTTGCTGTGGAGTCAATTGTTGATGGGATGGATCTACTGTTGAGAGAGGGTCTATTATTACTGATTGCTGGAGAGTCTATTTGGAGAGGGGAGATCCGTTGTTGCTAGGGGGAGTCTATTGTTGCTTGCTGCAGAGGATCTATTTTACTGCTTTCTTTGTTATCATTAACAAATTCCATACAATACTTAGCACCACAAAATGATAAACAGTTCTGTATCCTCTAAAAGGGCAATATTGGGAGGGGTTGAAACAAAGGAACAGTGCTCAGAGCATCCCATGCGCAATTTTCATGCAGACAAGAATAGCATCCCCACTGTGAAGCATGGTGGTGGCTCACTGATGTTTTCGGGGGATAAGAGCTCAAAAGGCATGGGGCATCTTCTAAAAATTGATGGCAAGATGAATGCATCATGTTATCAGAAAATACTGGCAGACAATTTCTTCTGCATGAAAGTTGCGCATGGGATTCTCTTAAACTTTCCAACATGACAATGACCCTAAGCACAACGGCAAGTTGACCCTCCAGTGGTAAAAGGTTCTGGAGTGGCCATCACAGTCTCCTGACCTTAATGACATCAAGCCACTCTGGAGAGATCTCAAACGTGCAGCTCATTCAAGACTACCAAAGACTTTGCATGACCTGGAGGTATTTTGCCAAGACAAATGGAAAGCTATACCACCTGCAAGAATTTGGGGCCTCATTGACAACTATTACAAAAGACTGCATGCTGTCATTAATACTAAAGGGGGCAATACACAGTACTAAGAACTAAGGGTATGCAGACTTTTGAACAGGGGCCATTTCATTTGTTTACTGGTTGTCATATTTTGTTTTATGATTGTACCATTCTGTTATGATCTACAGTTGAATATGAATCCCATAAGAAATAAAAGAAATGTGTTTTGCCTGCTTACTCATGAGTTCTTTAAAAATGGTACATTTAGGGATATGCAAACTTTTGAGCACAACTGTACATACAACTGTATTCCATACTATTGTACAAACAGCATTATTACATTTGCTGATGATACTACAGTAGTCAGTAGCATTAAAGGAGGGGATGACAAATTTCATAGAGCAGAGGTTGGAAAGTTAGTAGAGTGGTGTGCAGCAAATAATTTAACCCTGAACACAAGAAAAACAAAAGAGCTAGGTTTTATATCTTAGGAAAAACAAGACTGAAATAGCTTCACTTTATATTAAGGGTGAATGTATGGAGAGGGTCTCTGTCTTTCAGTTTCTTGGGGTATACAGTATATTTCTGAGAATCTTTCATGGTCAGTAAATGTACAGACCGTTGTTAATAATTTGCAGCAATGATTATACTTCCTCAGACTACTTAGGAAGAATGGTCTAGGGCAGAAACTATAAGAGGCCTTCAATTTAGAGTGTACTGGAGTACTGCGTTTTAGTATGGTACCAAAATTATTACACCAACGTTGACAGTAACCCTCTTTAGAAAGTTCTTAGTGCACAGAAAATAATGGGTTGTAAATGGCCATCGCTAGCAGAAATGTATGACTCTCGTCTTGGTAGAGCAGAGAAAATAAGTGATTCATTCCTTCCTGGCTATCACTTATTTGAATTGCTACCCTCGGGCAGACATTACAGGAGTGTTAAAGTTAGAACAAATATGTTTACAGAAAACTTCTTTATGTGGGCTATTAAGGCAATAAATGGAAATATTAATTTAAGTTAAGAAACAGCCAGTCAGGGTTAGTGCTTTGCTATTTCAAGTGATGTATTATATAATGATTTATTTATTTTTGTAGAATGTTTTATGGATGTAGATTAGTTTTCCTGTGATTTCCAAAAATTATGAGTTACCTTTTTCGAAATTGTGTTGTAAATATTACTCACAATACCAATGAATTTTATCTATCCATCTATCTAACCCTGCTGATCATGTGATCACTATGACAAAGAAACAGTGATCACATAAAAAGTAAAGGCTTCATTCAAAAATGCATGGTTTCAGTTTGCAGAAGTTACATCAACTGTAGAGGGCAGGACACATCTGTTTATTACTGTAACTGTCTTATTTAATGTTAATACTTCAAAAAGAAAGGGATTTTAAAAAAGATTGCAAAATTAGGCCTCCTTCCCACTAGAGAGGTGACTGGTGTTTTTCCTCAATAGGACAAATGTTTCCTACGTGCCCCGTTCTCACTACAACATAGCCCAGAGGTATAAAATGCAGACATGCTGCCTAATATTGCCCTTCGCTGGAAGGCACTGCATGCCACCTCACAACAAGCGCAATGCATCACACTGCTGTGTGGTGCTTGGGAAAAAAATGAATTAAAAAGGGAGCTGTGCGAGAAGATAAAACAAGCATCACACTGACCCCTATTGCACATCACTATGGCCCAAAATGGACCGCTGGCCACACACTACACCACTCCTGTTTAGTGTACGGGCAAGTGTGAATGGGCCCCAGTTACACATGCCCTTTTGAACAGCAGATATTACTTTTGTTTATGTCCCTTAAGCTGGCCATAGATGGGTATAATTTCAAAAGAAAATTCTTAGGAAAAGAATGTTCTAAGAAAGCTTGTTTGTTTTTCTAATCATTAATGGGTCAAATAGACATTCGTTTTTAACTGCAGTTATGAGAAAATTCAAAGAAGCAGGATGGAAAATTTCTCTCAAACAAATTTCTAACCGTGTATGTGGTTTTCATTCACTTTCATTCTAAAATCAAAAGCAGACAAAATCTTTTGAATGACATTTGAATGTTCAGAGAATTTTTCGAAAATGTTTCCTAAGAATTTTTGTACAAAAATGATATGCATCTAAGGCCAGCTTTACACATCATAGCACACATTTTACATCTCCAGTTGGATAAGCAATGAAAAAAAGTTTGCATTCTAAATAACTTTATTCAAACACTTACTGCAGTGACTTTGGACCTGATGCTTTGCCACAGTGTTTTCACATCATACGAGTTCACCACAGACATAGTGTTCCACACACGGATCATACTGTCACCTACTCCAACGGCCAGACATCCGGCAGCGACAGGGGAAAAAGCCAGGCTGTACACAAAGCCTCCCAGGGAACTCAATGACCAACAGCAAGAAATGGAGCCCAGATCCCAACATTTCACCTGCATATAATCCAAGTAGAAAAAAACAAAACAAAAACAACAAACAAGACATTCCATTTTATTTTTATGCAAAACAAAAAACATTATAATAAAGTGTCCCCCAAAAAACTGATGTTCATTTTTTTCTGTCCCCTTTCTCTCTGTCTTACTTCCCCTTACAGCTGTCAATTCCCCACACAGGTCTGCACTTCTCTCAGCCTCTGGTCTAGTGTTCCTTCCTTCTAGCTGCAGCTCACTCACATATTGGGCCCTCCATCTTTCAGAATAAGACCAAATTTGTAAGAACACCGTATTGCTCATAAATCATATCAGCTGCACTTTATACTTCTCAATTGTGTGTGTGTGTTATTTTTTTTTTAATTTGTTTTGCTTGAAGTGATGGTAAAGATAGAACCTTCTGTGCACAGGATCCTCCCAGCCCCCCTAAATAATAAGCTGAGTCCATTCTCAATCCAGCGCTGTCTCCAATAGCAGCAGCTCTCTACGCTTTTCTCTCTCCCCTCACTGGACATGGAGGCAGCAGAGGGAGTGATTGGTTCCTGCTGCTATCAGTCACAGCCTGTAAGTAGAGAGCAAAGGGTGGGCTTAGCCCGCACAAGTGCCCCCATAGCAAGCAGCTAAAATGGGGGAAAAAAAAAGTTCTGCAATCACAAGATTTCATGTATGTGTAATTATACATAGTTAGAAAGCCTTTTTTTATATAAAGTATGAAAAATGTAACTTATAGGTAACATAGGGGTGAATTTACTAGAGGCAAATGGCTCTGGGAAAAATGATCGCAATTTCACTTGCAGGGTGCACAGTCTTAGTAAATGTGGTAAAGCTCTACTGATTTTCATCATCCAATCATGTGCAAGCAAAAATAATTTTTCTTAATTTTCCTTGCACCTGGTTGGGTATGTTTTACAAAGTGAAGTTTTAACACGTTACATCGACTAAGGAAAATAAGTGCAATTGCACTTGCAAAATGCACAGTCTATTTCCCTTTAGTAAATAAACCCTATAGAATGGTTCATAGTGTGGAGCTGTTATTTATGTTTCTGGTATTGTGATAAATATTCTATTTCCATTGAACTATCATTTTTAGATTTTAACAGGGCAATGCAGCCCACAACCCAGAGAGAAAAAGTAGGCAAACTTTTTAAAGACCATGGTTGTTCAAGATCGATACTATTAATATGGTTTTCCAAACCAACATATTGTTGGATCCCAAAGACTGCCTATTAGGCATCTTAGAGGCCGATGAGCTGTCTGACTTCACCAAAGTGACTTGAGAAAACGGATTGTCATAGAAACGTCCCGCTACCTAGACCTGTGGTACAGGTTCTTCTGGTTTGGATTTTGGCCAGCCCTCATAGCATCCTTGGAGAGGGTGATACATCGCATTTGGTGCATGCGGTCCCAATCCAGGTTGATCGGCATTCCTCATTGAGCAGAGATGCAACAGTACATCCATCCATGCCACAAGCCTTGTTGTAAGCCAGTTCACAGCATCGTTTCCACATTATGAGTCATGTAAGTGCAGACATTGATTTCACGCATTTGCAGGACATTTGAATACCTTTCTATCCTTGTTCAAGTCCTTTATGGCTTTGCTGGAATGTAATAAATTTTATGCATATTGCTCAAGCTGATGGCATCTGCTGCCTCTGTATACTGGCTCAAGATACAGAACTTGAGTGCTTGTGGATAGTTATTGTTTCTATGAGTTCACCAGATTGGCTATTTCTAGAGCACTATTCCAGGCTAGGAAACTCATGTGACAATATTTGAAGTCATGAACCACCAACTGAGTTCCTGCTGCTAAAAGCTGACAGGTGTAGTGACAGCAGCATTGTTACTCATGTCAGCTTAGTGTTGGAAGGGACAAGCCAAACCTGGAGAGGAAAGAGCAGGGAGGAGGTGGGGGGAGGGTGTTCTTTCTTCCCACCTCCAGTTACTCCCTCCTGACACTGCAGCAATCCTAAACTGGAAATGTCAGACCAGGCTCGAGCATTGTTTGCTTACCGCCCCCTTTCTCATTCCTAGACTGCTCCTGTGCCAGCAGCAAAGAAGATGGGTACAGGGTGGGTAAGCAAACCCTACAAAGTCCCTATCTGACAGCCAGTGGTAAACCGGATTCTGTGATCCTATACCCCTGCAGCCGCCGGCATCTCTTCCAGCAGGATGCCTGCCAAAAGTGTTTAAAGTCAGAGCCGAGGGAGACTTCCCCTAGGTTCCTCCCCAACTCAGGCGTGGGAGGAAGAAAATCCCTCAGCAAACTGCCACACAGCTTTTGAGGTTTATGTATTTGAGAGAGGGAGGAGTTGTACTGGGGACAAAATTTGGGGGGGGAGAGGGGGAGCACAGAGTAACAAACATTTGTGCTGAAAATGAGAGCATTTGAGAGCACTTGAAGGGAGAAAAGGATTAGTGCTAGGAGGGGAAGTTGGAGGGAGATGGGATTTTTGCTAGGAGGGGGATTGTGGGAGCAGAGGGTTTGTGCTGGGAGGCGAATTATGGGAGGGTGGAGGCGAGTGAGATTTTAGTAGGAGAGAACTTTGGCTTAGAGGAGTGAGCATACAGATTAGTGCTTGATTATTTTTTCTTTTTTGCTGACGCATGATGCTCACACATGGGGGGCAGGGTGTTGGCCACAGTTTTGGCATCTTTGCTCTGGATGTTAGCTGACCTCATCCCAGCACTGCACAAAAGCGAGGTGAAGGAATCCACCCCCACTGGATTCTACTGTATAAATAAATGGATCAGTTGCTGCAGCCACTGATCCAGAACAGTTTTCCAACAGCCTGGATGGCCACACATGGATTGAAATTCAGCTGTCCCTGCTGAACTGGTTGAATTTCGATCTATGGCCAAAATAAGATTCAGAGAAGAGCCAGTACAGACCCCCCAAGGAGAGAGACAGAAGGAACTCACCTAGTAGGTGGTACCATTATTAAAAAGCTCAGGGTGGTATTCCTACAGTAAATTTTAATAATTGGAAGTCTGTTTTCAAACAGACAAGGACAAAAGCAGCTTGTAGGGTTTATTTAGAGCAGTACACTATATCCCTGGGGGGAACCAAAAGGAGCACATGCATCCATTGAAAGCTGAAGAATCAATTGATTCTCTACTCCGAGTCCTAACATGTCCTACCTCCTAAGAAACTAAGCTAAAACTTCCATTACAGAGGGAATTGGGGGGGGGGGGGGGGGGGGGAAAGAGTGATGCGTTTATTTTGCACAGTGTTCACCCACTAAGGAGCAGGGCCTATATCCCAGAGGTCTGCTGTGTGCCCCAATAACAGTTTGGCAAATATGGCCATATGGATCGAAATTTGGGCAGGCCCTGCTGAACCAGTTGAATTTCAATCTATGTCCAGCTTTAGAAGCACCATCCTCCCTTATCTCAATACGGAGAAAGGTGTTAATTGTTTGTGCAATGCTATACTAAAATGGCTAAGCTATGTGATGACATCACAACAGGTCCAAGCATGTTTTAGAAGAAGCAGCCATCTTTCTCAGTGAGTCACCTGTCCATCTTCCAAAGCAAGTAAGCCCCCTCTCAGGCTTAGTGAAAACAAGTGTCGTTTTAGTTGCCTCTATTACATCATAGTTTGTCAATGGACAAAATGTTTGAACTTGCAGAGAGGATACAGAATCGCAAAGAAAACTATGCTGTACTACTGTGCAATATTGTTCTGTGTCTCTTTTTCTGCAAAAATGAAATGGATTAAACACAGGTCCAAAGATATTGCATGCTAGTGGAACTAAACAATGCCATAATCTAAAGGAAAGACTTTGATTTGTATTTCAGTTACAGTTTTCTTCAGAACTTACATCTCGATCCATAGATGTAGACAGAAGCAGTTCCCTCCCTTCTTCCGTCACAAGAGAACAAAGATTAAAAACAATTCGGGTATGGTTTTGTCCCTCTGAAGAGCCCAAGAGACTCCATTTTTGTTTTCCAGATTTTGCCAAATCCCACAAGAGTAGCTCCCCCCTGGAGATAGAATAGAAAATACTTGAATTGCTTTAATTAGATAACATATCCTAAAAATAGCAGTGCTCTTCTTCACATGTGACTGTGTATACAGCCTTCTAGCAGTAGATCCTGCTGTCTGAGAGGCACTGCTGCCTCAGACTGCTTGTCTTACCAGATTTGAAGTGGGATTTGTTGATGCGACTGCTATGCTGCTTTCCTAAGTTGCCTTAAATGGTCTATATTGCCAATAGCAACCAGACCAGGGGTAGGCAACCTCAGCAGAGGGATGATGGGATTCGCCACAGTGCTGATGTTGCCTACCCCTGAACCAGACACTTTGTTCATCTTCCACAGAAGGTTAGGCATTGAAAGAAAGAGTCTAATTTTTGTTGGCAACCAGATCATTTGCTAGCACATATAAGAAGGTCAGTGTACATTCACAGCATGCATTTTGTTCTGTGATCAATTAACTCCCTGCGCATGCTCAGGAATTGGGTCATCCTGCCCCAGCCAATCAAGATGGCCAAAGATGCCACACCTGGAACAAAATCAGGCAAAAGCAATGAGGGAGACTATAGCCATTGCATCACTGGAAGGGGTGCTTTAGCAAGTAAGGCCGCTATAATGCTGTACATATTTGCACAATATGGCAAAGACCTGGGCACAAGCCAACTCAACTCAGGGAACCTTTATTTTTACAATTTCAGATAGCTTAAAATGTGTGTACCTCTGTCTTTTAATTATCAACAATGTGTTTTCTTCAAACCAGTTAAAAATGCTTGGTCTAGCTTTCTCAGCTAATAGAGCAGGAGCTATACTTCTATTTCCCTGTTCTCAAGAGAGGCTGCTATGGCTCACACTAGTGCTGACTGTTTGTCCCCAACCCATGTGTGCTACTTGACATTCGCAAAGTACAGCTTGTGATGATGTTGTGGACATTGCAGCCTCTCTGATGTGGCAGGAAGCTGAAAGTACAGCTCCAGTTGTATTATCTGATGTAGCTTAACAGCGTTGTAAAGCCCAATTAAACCTTCAGTTTAAATCAGTTAAATATATTCCAGGCGCATCAAAACAAAAACTGTTAAATGTCAAGCCTATGCTCCAGGGGAGGAAAAAGCAGAATTAAAATCCTGCCACATTTTGCAAAAGTGTTCTGGGTGTGTCAAGCACTTGGGCGTTCATTCATTCTACTGGCCAGAATAATAAATTTACTCTAGCACTAAACGCACCTAACACGCAAGCACATTTAGACATGTTTACATGTGTATAGGCATGCTGGGCTTTTTTTCAGCAAAGTACTTCTCTCCTGAATTGCGCTGGCTCAGGGATATTTTTTCTGTCTCTAAATACCTGTAAAAGCCCATGTGTGCAAGGACACATAGATTAACACAAAGGGGTGTTTAGAGACAGAAAAAAAAGGGGCATTTTTGATGTGCTCTGTGCATGAGGCCTTAATGTTATTTTTCTTTCAAAAGCAGTCAAAGCCTCAGTAGAAAACCATGTCCTTTATCAGCAGCTGCAGAAAAGGGTCCATGCTCTCCGTGTGGAAGCAGCTATCTTTGTTGTGTATCACCTGTGATGTTATTTCTGCTATTGCTATGTACTGCATCCAGGCTACTAATGTTTGGATATATGCTTACATCTACTTTTAGATTGGTGTCATAGCAACTTGCTTATGCAGAATTTAGTATGTTTCTTGTTTTCCCCTCCTCTCTAGTGCTATACAGTACAGTCCTAGTCGGTCCCTCCCTGCATGTTTCTATGTTTCCTCAGTCTATTGTCATCACAACAGACATTAGGCTAGTAAGGCCATTGTATTTTTGCTGAACAAACATCCTGTACTGAAAAGTAAAATTCCATTGAATTCAATTTCTGTTTTATTGGAAAGTTTGGCTGTCTATGGATCAGGGCCAGATCTAGCTGGTCTGATGTGGGGTGCAGTAAAAAAATGTATTTGGTCAATTTAAACCGAAGGTTTCATCAGCATTTTAACCCTTTCGCTGCCAGAACCGTTTTTGCATTATTTTGCCACACATTTAAAAAAATCTTTTTAGACCTGAAGATTACACAAAACCCCCAAATATTATATATTTTCTGAAAGCAGACACCCTAGAGAATAAAATAGGGGTAGTTGAAATTATTTATGTCACATGATATTACTGGTCTAGGAAATGCAAAATTTCAGTAATAAACACACTAAAGTGAATTTTTGGGCTAACACAATAAAATTACCCAAATATTTGGTAAAATATAAAAGACAAGGTTGCGCCGAGTAGATACCTTATATGTAAAACCTTAAATTTGAGGGTGCCTGTGAAATGGTGAAACTTCAGTACCATATATTTTTAAAAGACCATGCTTCAAAAGTTCCTACATGTCATCAGTTTTGTGTTATGGAGGAGGTCTTGTGCTAGAATTATTGCTCTCACTCCGGAGTGCATGGCAATATGTAACAATAGGTCACGTTACCGGGGCTGTGGAGGCAGTCGGGTGAATCCACCAGACAAGCAGGAGTCTGCATGTCAGTTTTAGACACAATCCCGGTGGCTGGGCTGCAACCACCGGATTGTGTGTAAAACCTCCTGCTGTCCCACAGACCTGGCAACAAATGGGTTAAAGAAAGCACACTGTTAATGAATAAGGGGCAGAAGTACACACTTATTACATTATACAAAACTATGAAATGCAGGTGTCTGGAATTTGGAAAATCAATGAAAATGTGAGCAAATAAAGTCACATGTGTAACACACAATGAAAAATAAAGGATTCTTATGAAAGATCCATTTACTACTAACCCAAAACAACTGGACAGTAACTGAGTGGGATGTCCATGTGGCCAGTAGAGAGTTAGCCATAGACGCTCCTTGATGGCTGGATCAATGCCACCTCCACGGCGCTTCAAATAGGGCAACTTTAGTGTGGAAACACCTACAGAGAAACCAGTAACTGCAATGGATTAGACATCTCTCCAATGAGAATATAGACTGCAACAACAGTAAGTAAAATGGTGATTGTTTAGAAGAGCCTTTTTCAACCAGGGTGCCTTCAGGTTTCTTTAGGGGTGCCTTGGCAAAATATTTAGAAATTGCCCAAAAAGTGTATACAAGCCAGCAGGTGGATAAAGCTTACTTTTTAGTTACACAAAGCCACAGGTTTTCAGTGTGCACCATCACGTTCTTCCAGTCGTCAGCATCCTAACAACCAATGACGTAATTGGTTTATAAGATGGACATCGGGAACGTGCGCAGCATCCTTGTTTACCCCCCCCCCCCCCCCCCCTCTTCTCCAGCACTAGGGTCACATTAGCGGAGTTAGAAGACAATGGGAGTACTAGTCAGTACCAGTGTGCAAAGGTGTATTTGCTTTGGAAGAATAATTCAGCTCTAATGTTGGGTGTCCTACATGTGTGGATGATGCTTCCATTTTGTAAAACTTTTAGCTTAGTTTTTATTATATTTTAGAATGGGGTGCCTTGAGATTGTTCATGGAATTGTTCAAGGAATACGGATTAGCAGTCCTGTCAAGTTTTTGTTGTTGTTGTCTGTGCTACTGCTGTCACCTTTGTCACAAAGGCTGATGGAAATCCAAGCTTTTGAGTTGACACCAGAACAGGAATAAAGAGGAACTCTTCATATGGGAACAGTTTTTTCCCTTACTTTGGAAAGCTGTTCTTTTTGCGTCCTGTTGTGTCTATCGGATAGGACAGGAAAAGATGGGAAATTGCCTCTGAAATAGGGTTTTCATCCTTCTCTACTCTATCCAAAACAAAACAAACCAAAAAAAAAAAAAAGTTTGGCTCTAGATATACAGTGGGTATAGAAAAGAATCACCCCCTTTAAAATAATCACATTTTGTAGCTTTGCAGCCTGAAATTAAGACAGAAACCATATTTGTTTTATCCAGCTGTTTTTACATCCAAGTGAAAGATAGAACACCAACATGTAAAAAAAAATCCAAAAACACCGAGTTGGAAAAAGGATCACCTCCTTGTGTTAGTATTTTGATGAGCCACCTTTTGCTTTATAGTCTTTAGTTGGGATATGTCTCTACTAACTTCTAGACCACTCTTCCTTGCAGAACTGCTCAAGTTTATTTAAATATGATGGTGACTATTCGTGGACTGCAGTCTTCAAATCATTCCACAGATTTTCAGTGGGGTTTAGGTCTAGGCTATGACTAGGCCATGCAAGGACTTTCACCTTTTTCGCACTCATCCACTGTGTGGTCATTTTGCTGTATGTTTTGGGTCATTGTCATGTTGGAAGGTAAACCTTCTTCCCATTGACAACTTTCTAGCAGAGGGCAGCCGATTTTCCTCAAGAATTTGACAGTATTTTGCACCATCCATTTTTCGTTCTCTCCTGACAAGTGCTCCAGTCCTTGCTGCAGAGAAACCCCCCATAAGAGGATACTACCACCTCCATGCTTTACTGTAGGAATGGTGTTATTTGGATGGTGAGCTGTATTGGATTTCCAGCAGACATATCGTTTAGTGTTGAGGCCAAATCATTCAATTTTAGTCTCATCTGAACATCTTTTTCTACGTGGCCTCAGAAACTTCAAGAAGCGTTTTGGCAAAGCTCAGTTGTGACTGCATGTGTCCTTTATTGAGGAGTAGCTTTTTCTTGCAACCCTCCCATACAAACCACATGTGTAGAATTTGTTATATTGTTGTCACGTGTACACAATGACCACTCCTCGTCATAAATTCCTGCAACTGCTTCAGAGTTGCTGTAGGCCTCTTGGGAGCCTCTCTGACCAGTTTCTTCCTGGCTCTTTCATCCAGTTTGGAGCGATGTCTGGATCCAGGGAGGGTCTGTGTTGTACCAAATACCTTCCACTTCTTAATAATAGACTTCACTGTGCTTCTAGGTATTGCTAAAGCCTTTTAAATTTTTTGTATCCATCTCCTGACTTGTGCCTGTCCACAACTTTATCCCTGAGATCTTCTGACAGTGCCTTGACAGTGTTTGCTTCAGTTGCACTACCAGGGCTTGAAACGCTCCAGGAAAGCTCTTTTCATGCTGAGCTAATCAAACTGACCACAGCTAATCACAGTTGAAAGTCAGATGGTTTTGTATGCCATTGAGAAGGCGATTAGCTACATCTGATTGAGCTTATAAGTCATTTTTAGGAGAGGGTTATCCTTTTTCCAACTGATTCTGTTTTTGATTTTTTTTTTTTTTTTTTCTGACATGTTGGGGTTATATCTTTCATTTGGATGTTATAAGTTGCACTGAGCAAATACAGCTGGATAAAACAAAAACTGTGTTGTCTTCATTTCAGGCTGCAAAGCAACAAAACCATGTTTTTTTTAAAGGAGGTGATTCTTTTTAACACCCACTGTAATTTAATATCCTCCGGTCCTGGTAACAACAGCTACTCTTATTTCTTGTCCTATTGTCATGGGGACATGAAGCGTGGTGAAGTCTCCTTCCCAAAGGCATCACAGGAAGCAATAAAAACTTGATGTTAAAGGTGGAAAGTGCCAGAAGCAGAATGTATAATATTCAGATTTGTTTTTTACTGAGACTAATACAAAATGCCAATGAGATTTCAGGGTTTAATAGGTCATCTATCACTGAGACTTGGTACTGTTGAGCAAAGTATGTAATAGACTGATAAAACTGGGGGATCCTGAGGGTTAATTAGTATGAGCTCTCCAGATGGCAGTTAAGGCTTATAAAAATAAAACTAATGCAGTCACCACATTTTAGAACTGGTAAGCTGCAATATATTGCTCTTGATTTTCTCTCTACTCTGCAGTATCAGATTTGTGCTGACAGATGCTGTCTTGCTCACTGCAGCGTCTTTTAACATGGCATCAGTCATTTACATGTTCTTGTAACATTGCAGCAATTATTTCAATCAACTCTTACATGCCTTTAGTTGGTTTTCTATAAGAGTCACTTACAGTCTCTAGCTACACAGTACTGATCTTTTGCAATGTAGCATATCACAAATCACTCCGAGTCTCATGCAACATGGCAGTGGTACACTTGATTTTTGGCTAATATCTGGTGGTTCAACTACTGAGTTTCAGTCACATTTTGTGTAAAGGTGATTTTCAAAATTGTTGTTGTTGCAGGTATGAGTGGCAAGCAGGTCCACAGAACAGCTCCCATGAGCCAGTTGTATTCCATAAAGTAGCCCCCTATGCTAAAGAATGAACAACCCTAGTATACAGCAATACAGTTGGTAGATCGATAATTAAAGACATTTTGTCTTTAACAGGTATGCTGGTAAAGCATCTTTTTCTTTTTAATCTTTATTTTAATATGATTTTGATGACATTCAGCCGCAAACAACTTTATTATGTCAGTGTTGGTATGCAGAAGTCCTGCCCACGTGCATGGTTTGATTAACAATGCAGTAATGTATGATAGTCCCTGGGAGCCCACCTTTTCCTGTAGAGGAATTCCATATACGGATAGTCTGATCTTTGCTGCCTGAGGCCAGGTAGCAGCCCTTGTTCTCAGTCTCTGGCAGGAGGTCTCCATTGGCTGCATTCTGCTCGGCTGCTGATGAAAAGAAAGAACACAGGCTGAGGATGGGATCCAGCACAGAGGGCACAGAGCGCAGATATCTATGGAGCTGGACTTTTTATTTACTGAGTTCTAAAAAGCAATTAAGCTATTGATTGAATTAAAGGAAAAATATCTTGTATTTGCAGTAACACATTTTGAATATATTTGTACACCCAAAAGTACATTGTAATCTTTCAGGTCATTGCTGTTCCACATTTAAGGCTCAAATGCAGTGTTACACTTTTTTTCTTTCAGGCAGACACTGTATTTTATACTTTGTGAAAAAAAATAGTTTTTTAGGCAGTTCCAAGAAAAATCTGTCAAAAAGTGAAAACACTGCTGCCTGCTCTTCCACTCCAGTGTTCTGTGCTGGGAAAGCTGCGTAACAGTCACACACCTCATCATAACTGTCCTCACATAGACTTGTAGGAGGGGAAGAGAATGTGTCTGACCAAACCTGGTACTAGGTCTCTAGCTGGTGCCTAATGAACTGGTCTAAGAAAAAAAAAAAAATTATATATATATCTCCAGCCTAATACTGGCAGGTCACCTGCCCACAACAAAAACATAGAATAAATACATAAAAATGAACAGGACGTTGTGGGTGACCTAACAGTATTATACTAGAGACCATAATGAATACTTTGTAAATACAAATTGTATATTATATATTTAAAAGACATCAATTAAAAACATTACATATTCATATAAAAATTGAAAGGTATAATGGCAAGAATCCACTTTTTCAGGACATCAGCTTTCTTCATTGCATGAAATTCACCAATATATGGCAATTTATTCTAACATCCACAGGTGGCAGGGAAACGTCATGGACTCCAGGACTGTGGGGAGACGAAGAGGAATACCAACCAGAGAACAAGACTAGAGCCGTATTGCAGACAGTATACAAAGCATACCAAAGTATACCTGAATGACTCCAGGTATACAAAGCAACCAAAGCCGCCTTTTGTTTGGCCTCCAGCCTCAGATGTCTTACAACAGTATAACCTTCAACCTCAGATGCCTTATATCACTGTATGCTGTAAAATGGTGTTGGGCTCAGAAGTATGGGTTGAAAGCATGTTGGAGTCATAGGATATCATATAACTTCCACTTCAAATGCTATACATCAGGTGAACAGCATAATCCATGCATCCTCAAGTCCTATCACAGGAGTATTTTATTGGAACATTAGGACAAGAAGCTATAAAATGCCCATCCACATACAGAATGTAGAGGCACCACATAACTCCAAGCCCTCCTTGAAAAAAAAAATCTGAGTTATTTGGAGTTATGCTTTAATTTGTTTTTTTTTCCAGTGTGTGTTCATGGTATTGACTACCCAATAACAAAGTGACAATGCAAATATAAAAAGACTTACCGTTCATCCACACAAGCAAACAATATTCACACATACTCTTCACCTCCACAAACACAGAATGCATGAAGGTAAAAAAAAAACCCTTCAGCCTTTAAAACCACTTTATGGAGTCAACATCTGCACCAATCTAATTCTGACTGATAGACCTATCTAATAGTTTTTGATGGGTTTGGGTAAATTGAGGCAGAGATAAAGGAAAGAGAGAAAAAAAGAGTCTAGGTCAGTGTAGTTAAAGTGATTGTAAAGCTACATTTTAAAATCACAAACATGTTATATTTACCTGCTCTGAGCAATGGTATTGTACAGAGCACCCCAAACCTCCTCCTCTGGGGTTCCCCTCCAGCACCGCCTGCACCTCCTCTTTTTCCAGTACCTCTAGCAAGCTGCCTGCTCTGCCCCCCTCCGCTCCCTCCTCACAGGACATGACTGATAGTAACAGGAGCCAAAGGCTCCTACTGTTTTCACTAAAGCCCGTGAATGAAGAGAGCAAATCGGGAGTGCCGACAGGGACAGTGATGAATCGGGAGTGGTGTTTGGGGGGGGGTGGAAATGGGAGGCAGAGACATTGAAAGTGTTTTTACCCTAATGCAAAATGCATTATGGAAAAAAAAAAAAACACCTACCTTTAGAACCACTTTAAAGGAGATCTCATCTGTAAAGAGGTTTTTATAGAATTGAGCAAAAGTAGTGTTAACCTCCATAAGGTCAAAAAGAAGAGTTCAATCTGGACTAAGGAGAGCAGGTATAGAGGGAGTGTGGGAATCTGAGCATGGTGGAAAGAATGGCAAGACACTGGCCTAGCTTTCACATCTACTTACCTGGGAAGACAGATATAAAAAAAAATTCCTGGACAAGTTCTTTCGCATGAGTAGATTTTAGTTAAAACTGAATTTAGTTGGTGTAACAGAGCCTCTCCTCAACTGAAGAACCTATACAAAACAATGTTTCTAAGCACAGTTGCTAAATGGTTAGCACATCCGTCTGGCAGTACTAGCGTCATTGGGTTGTTGGTTCGGCACCACCTGCCTGGAGTTTGCATGTTCTCCCTGTGCGGGTTTCATCATCCAGGTACTCCAGTTTCCTCCCACACTCCAAAGACATACTGGTAGGTTAATTGGATCCTGTCTAAATTGTCCCTTGTATGCGTATGCATGAAAGTAAATTAGGGACCTTAGATTGTACGCCCCTTGAGGGTCAGGGACTGATGTTAATGTACAATATATATGTAAAGCGCTGCATAAATTGACGGTGCTATATAAGTACCTGAAATAAATTAATAAAGGAGCCCCTGGTGACAGCCTTAAATGTTTCCCAGGACATAAATATATTAGAAAAGGATGCAATAAAGTCCCAATAGTCGACACTTTTTTTGCACTCTGAACTATTTTGTTAAACAGCCAATGGGGTTTAATTTCCAATCACAACCATAATAGGAACCTCGGATTCCACGCGTGCTGCGATTTAAAAAACAGTACAGAGACTTCTTTCCTGTGTTTCCCGGGGCATGGCAGCCCATTCAAATGAATGAGCTCTCATGCCAACGCAAATCATAGCCTGAACAGCCGCACAGGTGTAAACCTAGCCTTAGACTCTGTATTTAGATGTTTAGACTTTTAGGTAAAGTGCTAAAGCTATCTAAGGGTTGTTGCTTCTGTGCTAAATAAGGACAATATATTTAGCTCCATTTACACATTTCTCTGCATGCAGATTCCACAAGCAAATCTGTGACTCTAAGTAGTGCAGCCTCTTTTTAAATAATTCTGTACTGTGCAACCTCCTTTTCATGCTACATCTGTGGAGGCATATATGCAGCGGGATAACAGAGAGCGAACCAAAGAACTCAGGGGCATTTGTTTGTGCATCTCTGTTTCATAGGCATTCAAAAGATGAAACCAGAAACTTTAACAATTTAGCCAGCTAAGATGGGATTAGACCTAGAATAAAAAATAGTGTAGTCCAAAAGGTAAGCTATTTGCCCTTAGGGAGTTTTCCTGCAAAAATTTCATGACTGATTGGAGTGTAACTTTAAACAACAATTTCAGAACTGTACAGAATACAAATGAAACAAGAGTTGCTGCACAAACCAACACACAGAGAGAATGGCTGAATAAATGATGTGTTTTATCTCTGGAAACACCTGGTTGTCAGTGTTTTTTTTAAAAGATTAGCCAGCTGATATACCTGGTGCATCTTCCAGCTTTTGATTCAACTCTTCCTCTCGGGGATGCGGGCACCATGCCAGGCAGTGGATCTCATCATCGTGTCCACGCAGACGATGCACCACGTCTCCTCTACGGCTGATATCTATGAGGACGATCATACCGTCCTTGTACCTGGGAGAGATGAGACACATTACTAATGTTGATCCCAAGATAGCGGCATTTTCTGCCAGTCACGTCACGTTCAGATGCAGCTCTAGGCAGAATTAATTTTTTTTTTTTAAAAAATGGGTACTTTATAGCATTCATCATCCATGAATAGCTTTATCCCTGGTTCAGACAGATGTGTTATCTGGATAATACCCATTGCTAGGCTGGTAAAACAAATACAACTGTTAAAAGATGTCTTTCAAATACTGAGGCCTTTGTTTCATAAGGTGCATAGCTATGTGTAGATTACAGTATTCTATTGTAACAAATTGCCAATTACCTTTAATAGTTAAAAAGGTGAAATTACAAAATATTGGCAAATTTTGTTCAACCACGCTTGGGCATTAAAAAAATAAATTTTATGTAAAATATATACTTCAGTAACCACAAATGCTACACTGTCAACATTGCTTGCGCTAAAGGCCTTTGAACACTCATATATTTCCTTAAACGAGTAGTAATGATGGTCTGTGCAGACAGCAGAACTGTGGAAGGGACCCAGCAAGTTTCCCCACTATAGACTGCATGCAGAAATCTATGGGGAGAGGGGTGCAGATACAAGACCAGCTATCCTAAACAAGATGAGAGAGCAGAAGTAACCAGTCCATATTACAGGAAATTCATGCAGAGAGGTGAAGTGTAGAAGTTGTTTCATGCTCATGCTACACAGATCTAAAAGAAACACATAAAAGAGGCAAGCACCAAGGCAGGAAGGCATAAAAAACAATAGACACATTTTCAGAAGTACTAACCCTTCTCCGCTCTATGAAAATATGTTTTTGTCCCCATTGGAGAGATTTTCCTTCATTTCTTGTCAAAAATGAGGGGAAATCTTCCCAACAGGGACATAGATGGCAATAAAAACTAGATAAAGACTCAAACCTTTTCCTGCTCTTTCCAAAATATAATAAAAGCAGTTTTGACTGGCATTGGGCTTCCAATTGATCCAAAGATATCAGCTGGTGATATTACATTCAAACTTTGACTTTTTTTGCTGACCCCCTCTCACCTAGCCATGGCATCCCTTCAATAGGGTCTGTATGTCCAGGGGGCAGGAAGGATCAGCGAACATGTAACCACCATGATTGGCTGTCACAGTGGTCACATGAACAGGAGCCAGCCCCGCCAGCAACCGATCGTTAGTGGGGACAAAGAGGTGTATTTGACAGCTTAGTCACTGTACTGGGAGCACACTCTCAGCACAAATACATCAGCTGCCCAATGACGCGTATGTGCGAGGTGTGTGATCTTTTGCTGCTGTACATATGTGGTACACTGGCAGCAACAGGGTAAAGTGAAGCTTGGCTTGTCACTTCCCACCTACTGAATTGCATAGTAATTGAAATGGAGTAGGGGATAAAGCTTGCATTTTATACAAAAAAGCTACGGTTTGGAGATAACTTCAGTTTGAAATGCAGAGATTGTTACCAGGTTTACTTTTACTGCATGTCAACAGCAGAACAGAAAAACGTCAGCAAGTGGGTATAACAAGCTCATTATTTAATCATTCCAGTTTGACAGCTGTCATTATCTGGCTATTACATCCAAGGAAGCAGCTAATCAAACATGAAAAGTCTAACCCTTTTCACTGCCAGAGCCGTTTTTGCGTGTTTTAATTTTTTTGCATACATTTAAAAAATCATTTTAGGCCTTAAGATTAGTTAAACCCCCTAAACGATCTTATGGAAGCAGAGACCCTGAAGAATTAAATAGTTAAACAGCGGTAGTTCCAATAGCTTATGTCACGCGATAATTGAGCAACAGTTCAAGAGCAACATTTCAGTAAAAAAATACATTTAGATTAATTTTAGGGCACAAAAATATATGCAATGTAATACCCAATTTTTTTAGTAAAATACACTGCTCAAAAACATTAAAGAAACACTTTGAAAACACATCAGATCTCAATGGGGAAAAATATCATGCTGGATATCTATACTGATATGGACGGGGTAATGTGTTAGGAACATAACGATGCCCCATCGTTTCATGGAAATGAAAATGTATCGACCTACAGAGGACTGAAAAATCAAAGTGAAAAAATGATGCAGCAGGCTAGTCCATTTTGCTGAAATTCCACTGCAGCAATTCAAAACAGCATAAGCCAAGAAGAATGATGGGGGTGGGTTAGATTTGGCGGCACAGAAAATCTGGTGCCTGTAAAAGTGATAAAGCATCACCTATGATACATTTTTAGGTACTGTAGTACTGCAGCTTGTCACCATTTCACGGATGCAGACAATTTTGAGTCTTGACATGTTTGGTATCTATTTACTCAAGGCACTACCATCTTTTATATCCTACCAAGAAATTGGGTTTTATATTGTGTTTGTATGCCTTAAAATTTATTTTAGTGGAATTTTTCCTGAAAATCTGAGTAAGTATAGTGGGACATAAAACATTCCAATACCCACCATTTTATTTTCCAGGGTCTTTGCTTTCAGAAAATATATGTTTGTGGTCCTATGCAATTTGCTAGCAAAATGTGGATTTAAAAAACAAATAAATAATTCCCTGCACAGCGGGTTAAAGAATCAAACTTATATTTAGAAAATGGTCAAAAAGTCAATTTAGAAAATTTTAAAAAGTAAGGAAAGTTATTTTCACTGTAAAATGGATAAATGCGATTAGCAAACAACATACCCCACAGCCACCAGATCCTCCTGGTGCGGACAGCAGGAAAGGCAGAATATAGTCCTTGGTTCAGGAAAGAACTGCTGCCCATCATTGCGGTTACTCCAAAAGCAAACCACTATTCCCTTTTCATCCCCAGTCACCAGTAAGTCCTTTACCAGAGGAGACCAGTGCAGGGCAGAGATTGTGCTCTGTAGGAACAAAAAAGCACCATGATCACATTGTCTGCACACTTCTAACCAGCAGAAAGGGGTGAAGCTTCCAGAAAATGCAGTTTTTCTGCGAATGAGGGCTGTACTTTTCAAAAGGAAGAGCTTGTTTTTTTTCCCTCATTTGGTATTCTTTAACTGATTTCAATATGTAAGAGAATTCTCTAAAAGTTCAGATTACATGTAGAAAGCAAAAGGTGCCTCCCCAGACTGTGAACTCAAATTTCATGAGCAGGCTCAAACAATACTAATGAACCACATTAGAAGCAATGTGTTTCAGCTGATGTGACAGTATTCCCTGTAGATGCGGAAAGCTTTCAGTCGAAAGATTAAAGGCAGTCCTGAAGTTCAAAATAATGCTGAATTACCCACTGAATTTTTAGAGACATGGCACTCTGGTAGGAAGATCTCGAAACCCAAGTTCCCAACAGCGCTCACCTTCTACATTTTAAGGAGGACACAGCTTGATTTCCCAATTACCCAAACGCAATAGGATAGAACAAGGCCCCATGCCAGGCCTTGTACTAACTATGGGATTAGAAATACCTAAAGTGCCAGCTCATTATCATACACAGGAATTTTCAATTTGTTCCACAGATGGTCCTTCCATCTCAAGTTTCCTGGCCAAGTGGGATGAGGATTTTCAAGATCTTGAGAACAGGTAGTGATCTCACTGTCCTTTCTTGTCAGGGGGAAATCTTCCTATCTATGGCCACCCTAACATACTCACTTTCAAAAACTTGTACTGACATAACGATGTGAGCTGACAATGCAGAACTATCCTGAAAGTGTTGGATCCCTGACTGTTATGCTGATGCATCGGCCCAAAAGAAGTCTGAAGAAGTGGGAGTGCCCTGGACCTTCAGGGACACGACTTCCCCTCCAGGACTTATAGAGCACCCTGGCAGCAGGTTCACAGTACCCAGGAGATCATTATCCTCAGGTTCCAGTGACATGTATCAGCGTTACAGGCCATCCATGCTCTTGCATGCAGGGTCCTGGAACATTCCATCTAAGCCTGCTGAACGTAGTGACCAATCTGAATAAAGACCACCTCTACCACATCAGGGGTGTCAGGAACCGGCTGGGATTTATGGAAATCAAAGCCCACAAAATATTTTCAGGGAGATACAGGGAGGCACATCCATCATATAAAAATACTGGCTAAAAACTGAGGCTTAGCTGAGCTGAAAGGGGTTATGCCTAGGCCAGGATTACTTCCTTTATTTGGCCAGTGTCCACTCACCTGACGGTGGCAGCATAATCCAAGTAGTCATGAATATGAAATCCTCTATGTCCTGTCATGTGTGATTAAGAAATTGCTTTCATTTTTGACCATATAAACAGTTATAAAAGAGCTATAGGATTATATTTTTTTTGTAGAAAAAAAACAAATGCTAATCAAAACACAAGGTTCAGTAACAAATCACAATAAAAACAACTATTTATTAAAGGTTACACGGTTTAAAAAAAAAAATTTATGCACATTGATCCAAAAACTGTCTTTACCTAACAAGCTCTGAAGCAATAATTTTAGACAATGCTACTGCTTATAATGAACAAAACAATTCAAAGACTATATGACCTTAAGTTGTTTGCGGCCAAATTCTCCTTCAGTATCATGTCATAGAAATGGATTCATGGAGAACCTACCCGATGGAGCTTGTGCTCAGTCACAATACCCTTTGTATGAGTGTCCCACACCTTCACAGTCCCATCATCAGAGCTACTGGCACAGATGTGAACCTGACCAGAGAAGTGGGAGAAGGCAAATCCAGAAACCCTCTCTGTATGTCCAACTAGCTCCCCTAGAGACAAAAACAAAGACATAAAAAAAATTCCTTAAATCGGAAAGAACACAACTACAATGGCTGTATTTATTATTTTTAAATGAAAACTGGAGGAATCATAGCTGTTTTAATAGATTCAGTATTTTCTGAGGCACTGACTCGGAACAAGTATGTAAGGTTAACACCATCCTGAACTGCATACAAGCTGTGTTTCATGTCAGTGTCTCAAAGTACTGATTCAAGGGTAGCTCTATATTTCCCTCTGTTTCCTTTAAAGGGCAAGTCCACTAGAGGGAAAAAATATCACAAATAAAAAAAAAATAATAATATAGCATTTACAGCTGCAACACAAGCTATGTTGTAATTTGTTATTCAATATTATCTTTCCTTTCTGTATGGCATCCCAGTCTTTGTCTGTAGGATTCAATACTGAGTTGGCCCACCCTTTGCAGCTATAACAGCTTCAACTCTTCTGGGAAGACTGTCTAAAAGGTTTAGGAGTGTGTCTATGGGAAGGTTTGACCATTCTTCCAGAAGCGCATTTGTAAGGTCAGGCACTGACATCGGAAGAGAAGGCCTGGCTCGCAGTCTCTGCTCTAATTCATCCCAAAGTGTGTTTTCCGTGCAGGCCAGTCACGTTCCTCTACCCCAAACTCGCTCATCCATGTCTTTATGGAACTTGCTTTGTGCACTGGTGCACAGTCATGTTGGAACAGGAAGGGGCCATCTCAAAACTGTTCCCACAAAGTTGGGAGCATGAAATTATCCAAAATGTCTTGGTATGCTGACACCTTAACAGTTCCCTTCACTGGAACTAAGGGGCCAAGCCCAACCCCTTAAAAACAACCCCACACCATAATCCCCTCCTCCACCAAACTTTACACTTGGCACAAAGCAGTCAGGCAAGTACCATTCTCCTGGCCACCGCGAAACCCAGGCATGTCCATCGGATTGCCAGACAGAGAAGCGTGATTGGTCACTCCAGAGAACACGTGACAGAGAACTGCTCTAGAATCCAGTGGCGGCGTGCTTTACACCACTGCATCTAACATTTTGCATTGCACTTGGTGATGTAAGGCCTGGATGCAGCTGCTTGGTCATGGAAACCCATTCTATGAAGCTCTCTACACACTTTTCTTGTGCTAATCTGAAGGCCACACAAAGTTTTGAGGTCTTTAGCTATTGACTCTGCAGACAGTTGGCGACTTCTGTGCACTGTGTGCTTCAGCGTGCGCTGAGCCCGCTCTGTCATTTTTACGTGGCCTACCACTTGGTGGCTGAGTTGCTGTTGTTCCGAGTTGCTTCCACTTTGTCATAATACCACTAACAGTTGACTGAGCTCCTGAGAGCAACCCATTCTTTCTCAAATGTTTGTAGAAGCAGTCTGCATGCCTAGGTGCTTGATTCTATACATCTGTGGTCATGGAGGTTATTGGAACACCTGAATCCAATGATTTGGAGGGGTTTCCCAACACTTTTGGCAATATAGTGTATATGAGGTACAGAGCGCTCTCAGAAATGTCATTTCGTGGTTGTGTGATTATAATTTTCCCAGAAGTCAAGATAATATGATTTTAGGCATCCTTTGCAACAAAAAATTCATTTTTGGTGAAATGCTCCTGGAGTGTTAAATACTTCTTATTATACAGGATTTATATAGTGTCAACAGTTTGCACAGCGCTTTACAAAATGAAGGTAGACATTACAGTTACAATACAATTTGGTACAAGAGGAATCAGAGGGCCCTGCTCATTAGAGCTTACTTATAAAGGAATGCAGAGTCTGTCATTCTTCTCATAAGAGCACTGTAAGTGCATGAGCTGAAAAATAATGAAAAGTCAGTCACGTTCCGAATCAGTATCCAAAAAAAGATAGAAAAACAAACAAGTTTTTCTTCACAGCAGAAACGGGTATGACTCTGCAACAAAGTTTGTTAAAGTTCTTGCAATGTACATAAGTGACCCAGAGGGGATTGCTTTTTTCTCTTAACAAAAAAGTGGAGTTACTCTTTAAAGTGTTACTAAACCCAGGACCCTGAATTCGCTATATCTGGTCTCCCACAGTACACACAACATGGAAATGCAATTATTTTAGTAAGTATAAACTGCTAAATACCTTTTCTCATCAGCAATATATAGCAGTCTTGTGACATCTATCAGTGTCTGGCTGAGCACTGGTTAAAGCTTATAGGAGTTTTCATACTGCTCTAACTGTCCTATGAGGCTCCATAACCCTTGACCCTCTGTTTATACAATGCTGATTGGCCCTGTGCTGATCACATGCACCCTCCCAAATAAAAAGCAAAAAAAAAAAAAAAAAAACCCACTCTCTAGCAATACACACTGAGCATGTGCAGAGTGACTCCTAGAGCTCTGTATTATCAGCAGATGGATTGGGAATAGTAGAAGGGGGGATCAGAGAAGACAGGATCAAACAGCCTTTTTACATAATATGCAGGATTAACCCGTTAGGCTCCACAGTGAATATAACAAGCATGCTTTACTGCATATACAGACTGATTTTACTGTTGTGGGCTTAGTAGCACTTTAAGGAGACCCTGTCAACTTCTCAATTTAGGGCAAAGTGAAAATACCTCTTTAAAGCTCACTCCCCTGATTACCTTACGTTCAAAAATTGCCAGATGCTTCCAGGGATGACGGGAGCATGTTACCTCTCACTCAGGGGCGGAGTGACAACTCATGGGGCCCCCGGGCAATAGGGGATCATGGGGCCACTGTGTCCTTGCCCAAACTCAAAAGAGCCTATGAAAAAGGTACCAGGGGCATCTCATGGGGCCCCCTACTGACCCCGGGCCCTCGGGCAGTGCCCGAGTTTCCAAATGGTCAGTCCGCCCCCTGCTCTCACTATGCAGCTGTCGGGCCTAACAGCTAGTCACTAGGCCTGGGCAATGTAACATAAAGAAGGGAGGAGGGAAGTGTCATTACTATTTGTAAGCTCAAACACCTTGCACTTTGTCACAGAGAAGGTAACAGTGGGGACGTACTGTGAAAAGGGAGTACATCTAGTGTGCGAGTTTCACAGCCGCACACAATTGTAAGTCTTGTCATATCTGTTACCT